GGACCTTCTGCCTCTTGATGCTTGTTTGGCATCACTTTTCTAGGGGGGACTCCAGCAGAACAGATGTTTAGTGGTAAAGTCTTGTCCAAGTGTCTTTACTCAGAAGACGATACAACCTATGACAGCTGGATCTATATGCATCACATCAACAAGAGAAGAAAATACCATACACTGTAAAATTACTTGGGTATACAGTTAATACAAGAAAACTGTGTTCTGCAAACATTTACCTAGTAACACTAGCATCTGCAGGAACTGCACCCAATGGCAAATGATACATATAGAGGTCTGACTCTGGTATAGGCAGAGCATATTTGCATCCTAGAAATTTCATGTCCACACAACCCAGACTTGCATATGGTACTTGTAATGGTGCAAATTAATTATCCATAACCTTTCTAGGAAAAACTTGATGTTGTTTAAGGAGAATTAGACTACACATAATTTTCTTTCCCATATGCAGCTGCATCAGAAAGATCATGCTTGACTATATTGTGAATTTTTTTTTTTATAGATATTTAGGCCAGAAGGGACCATTATGATCATCTAGTCTGACCTCCTGCACAATGCAGGCCACAGAATTTCACCCACCACTCCTAAAAAGACCTCACATCTATATCTGTGCTATTGAAGTCCCCAAATTGTAGTTTGAAGACCTCAAGGAGCAGAGAATCCTCCAGCAAGTGACCCGTGCCCCATGCTACAGAGGAAGGCGAAAACCTCCAGGGCCTTCCAATCTGCCCTGGAGGAAAATTCCTTCCCGACCCCAAATATGGCGATCAGCTAAACCCTGAGCATATGGGCAAGATTCATCAGCCAGATACTACAGAAAATTCCTTCCCGGGTAACTTGGATCTTACCCCATCTAAAAACCCATCACAGGCCATTGGGCCTATTTACCATGAATATTTAATTACCAAAACCATGTTATCCCATCATACCATCTCCTCCATAAACTTATCGAGTTTAATCTTAAAGCAAGATAGATCTTTTGTCCCCACTACTTCCCTCGGAAGGCTATTCCAAAACTTCACTCCTCTGATGGTTAGAAACCTTCGTCTAATTTCTAATCTAAATTTCCTAGTGGCCAGTTTATATCCATTTGTTCTTGTGTCCACATTGGTACTGAGTTTAAATAATTCCTCTCCCTCTCTGGTATTTATCCCTCTGATATATTTATAGAGAGCAATCATATCTCCCCTCAACCTTCTTTTAGTTAGGCTAAACAAGCCAAGCTCCCTGAGTCTCCTTTCATAAGACAAGTTTTCCATTCCTCGATCATCCTAGTAGCCCTTCTCTGTACCTGTTCCGTTTGAATTCATCCTTCTTAAACATGGGAGACCAGAACTGCACACGTATTCCAGGTGAGGTCTCACCAGTGCCTTATATAATGGTACTAAAACCTCCTTATCCCTACTGGAAATACCTCTCCTGATGCATCCCAAGAGACATTAGCTTTTTTCACAGCCATATCACATTGGCAGCTCATAGTCATCCTATGATCAACCAATACTCCAAGGTCCTTTTCCTCCTCCGTTACTTCTAGTTGATCGTCCCTAGCTTATAACTAAAATTCTTGTTATTAATCCCTAAATGCATGACCTTACACTTCTCACTATTAAATTTCATCCTTATAATTATAATAAGGGCTAGTTGAAGTGTTGGTGGGGAATTTAGACCCCGGTTTTTGATGTGTGAATCATGATAAACTGATCCCAGTTTCTGTGAACGTGTTATTTGTAACTATTTGCCAGATGGGCTAGACAATTTGACTTGACTAGTCACTGTGTTGATGGAATGTGATTGGTTATCCACTATATCACTTGGGATTACTTCTGTGCTCTGGTAGGGTGGAATTTTTAGAACACAGAATGAACATTAAATACTTTTGCTCACACATGCAACAATCTCCTGACTCCAGGTGAATAGGGTCACTTGTATGAAGAAAAAGTTCTTACCCAAAACATTAGCTCGGTCAAAAACTTGTTCACAAATGGCATAGTAACAAAGGGTTGTGAACAATGCCAAACCAACTTGCAGTTTGGAATCTGGGTGAAAGTTTAAACACTCTTTTGGAATATTCACTTTAGTACAATTCTCTCTCAATTCTAGTGTAGACTGTCAAGTTCAAAATGATAAACTGGTGAAGGTACAATAATCACTTCTCTTAAAAATAAAAATTGCTTTTCTTAGTGTTATGTATGAAGAGCACGATGCCTATAACTCAAAACCCCATTTTTACGAACTACTCTAGGGCAGAGAGGCTGCATATCTTACTTTAAAAAAAAATCATACAAAAATATTCATGTTCATTTCATGCATCAGAGGGTTATTTCCAGAACTTGATGATGAAGCAGTAGTAAAAATGACCAGATAAGGCAAAAAGGAATGGTTTGTACACTCCATCTGAGAAGGACATCGTACTAACAGCTAAGAAAACAGTCTGAAATATGGTAATATTTTGAAAAGGTCACTAAGTAAACTACTGTGCAGTATGATTGACTGCAGGCCTATAGCTGTGCACTCAGGCATAAGATTTTCAGAACTCACTTTCTAACTACTGCAGTTTTTAAAACAGGCCTGTGTGTTATGTAAACACTGGGCCAAAATAATTTCTTCTGGAATTACTGGCAAATCTAGCCTTGGAGTTTTGTGTATGGCACTAAGACTCTCTCAAATTAAGCCAAAAAGCCGACAAAGATTTCCATTTTGGTTTTCTGACAGTCAGAGCACAGGAATAGTGTGCTCTACTGACCCACAAGAGTTCATTTATTCCTCATGTACACAATTCCCTGCTTGATAATAGGACTTTTTTCCCCCCTCAGGAACTGTACAATATCATGTAAATTCCTGTATTCTGACTAGGGGTCATAATTAGGTATTCAAAGTACAGGGATGCAGATAGGAATTGCCTTACCCATCATGCAGTCTGAGCGTGGGAGGCTGCAGTTGGCTGCCTGGCATTTAGAAATTAAGTGACTACTGATGCAGGAATATTCAGATATGATAATCTCTACCCTTTTAGCTTCCAGACAAATCAGTGAACAGAGTAGATTGTGTCTGGCTATAATGTAAAAGCTGGGGTACAGAGTTGCATGATGGGGCTCAACCTGATGTTGAACATTCTCATGCGCCATCCTTTCACACTTCCCCCTCTGGCAAGTAGCCATGATAGCAGTAATGTTAGCTTGATCTGTAGTGCAATTAAAAGTTTTGTTCATACAGAACCAGTACTGAATTTTTCATGCTGATAAAGTGCTTCTTTGGACAAACCCAGAATTTATTCCTCAAGTCAACTGCATTACCTAGAAGTCCCACAAAATTGCACTATAAATCTGTCCCAAGCCATTGCACGCAATGGATGCCTGCACAATGCTAAAAATAGACCTAGACAAAACCAAGGCATTCATTCAGCTGATCAAGTTCACTTTGTGTCCTTTCACTTGGCTTTGAAGGTACAAAGTTTTATGTGTTGGATACACAAGGCAAGAAGATTTTCTTCTGCACTCAGGCCACTTAATTCCTGTTCTCCATGGATTTCTTAACATACCTAGTAGCTGAATTCCAAGTCTTGCATGAGGTGTTGCTAGGAGGATGGTGTTAGGTTTATTCCCAGATGACTGATGCATGTTGTTGGTTTTGCTTACATTAGTCCAAATGGTTTTGCTGTCCTTGCTATACATGTCTGAAGAATTACCAATGTATGAACTGGGACACTCACTATGCTGAAGAATGTTTATGTGCCACCCCAAAATTTCCTTTCTTCAAGTAGGAAGGGACACAGATCCTGTGCAAGCTTGGGTCAGGATCACTAATTTGGTAGACATGTGACGGCCTACTGCAGAACATGAAAACTTGGTTAGATTCATTGATGATGATTTAGTAAGGGTTTGGCTACACTTGCAAGTTAGAGTGCATTAAATCAGCCCCGGGCGCCTTAACTCCTGAGGTGTCCACATTGGCAAGGCACTTAGAGCGCCTGGACTCTGCAGCTGGAGCGCTCCTGGTAATCCACCTCCACGAGAAGCATAAAACTTGCTGCGCCCTGGCTGAAACGCCCGGGTGTCAGTGTGGACAACGTGTTGCATTGCTGCTCTGTGACTGGCCTGTGGAAATGTCCCATAATCCCCTGAAGTCAAGTGGCCACTCTCCTCATTGTTTTTGAACTTGGCAGCAGGCATGTGGCTATCCCCTTTCAAAGCTCCATGTCTGACAGCCGGCTGCTTATCTGCTCCGGGACAAAGCAAACCATTACTGTGGAATAATGTTGCTGCTGCCGCCAAGGCAGGCGTTTGTGCGAGAGTCTGAGAGAGAGAGGCAGGGGGCAGGGGTCTGCTGCTGCCTGAACTTACAAGACAGCATGCTGACACACACTCTGCCCCCCAAAACACACTGTCTCTCCCCCCCCATACACACAACACACTCCCTGTCACTGTCGTCCCCTGCCCTTTGAAAAGCATGCTGCAGCCATTTGCACACTGGGATAGCTACCACAATGCACTGCTCTCAAGAGCTGCTAACGTGGCCACACCACTGTGCTTGCAGCTGACAGTGTAAAAACATAGCAGCATTTTCCCTGCTGCGGTCTCCGAAGGCTGGTTTAACTTCCAGCGCTCTACATCTGCAAGTGTAGCCAAGCCCTACACAATAAAAATATCGGTAAGGGACAGTTTTTCATCAGTTATCTCAATTGGCAGGCGCTTCAGAAAGGAATGTGTCCTTGAAACATCTATTGACAAGTCTGAATTCTGCCAACACCCTGAAAACCCACAGACCTTAGGTGAAGAAAAAAGAATTGGAGGTAAGTGTACAAATTATGCCTGCAGAATCTATTTTGTGGAGAAAGTTTGTGTGTACAGAGCCCACATGTCAATTTCAGTCTACAGAATGAAGATTTTATATGTGCAAATGTTATGAGTACAAGAACTAAAATTGGCTCCATATGTCAAGTAAAAAGTGAGAATATATAATACATAAATAGTTCTTATGCACAAGTCAAGTTCTAGAAATTGACTTATTTAACACAGTAATCAGTTTCTTTAACTTTTTTTATACAAATTGACATTTTTATTTTTAGTACAGAAAATCCAAGTCAGAACTGTACCTGTGTCTCAACTGTACCATTGGAGTCCAACTCTGACCTCAACTTAAAAAAAATATAATTGCTGTCCCACAACATGTAAAGTATTTTTACCAGTAATTCATCAATACATTTCCTATATTTTTTTAAGTATTTTGAACGATAAAACAGTATCTGGAAAACAGAAGTTAAAATTTAGGACCAAATTTTTCTTTAAAGAGCTGTACAAGAAGAATCCCTTTTTTAATTAAAAAAACTGCAAATAAAAGCAAAACTACACACTGTTGGGTAAAACTAAAAAATACTTCTTGCTACATAATGAAATGTTAGGAACAGTCACCGAGAAACAGTTCTTCTTCAAAAGAACAACTGAAGTACAGTATCTACAAACATGACATACAGTTAAAGAGAGACAAAAACAAACTTGTTAGGAACACAGACCCAGAAGTGCAAAAACAAAAAAGGAATTGATGCAATGGAGTTTGGTACAATGGGTACATAAGTCTTGAACCAAAACTAAATGATTGCTTATTTGTTGACAGTGACAACACTAGCAATTATAGTACCTCCCTACAGGCTTTTAATCAAAGCCCTAAAACTGTGACTGTTCTTATATTAAATAAAAATCTATGTGAATGCTACACACTGAAGTACAATGCTTAAGAATTACCCTGCAAAATTGCACCAACATAAGCTTTCAATATTTACAGTCTCTAAAAGTGACAAACACAGCATGCTAGGCCTAGCTATGGATTCTCCCCATCTCTACTTAATCCAGGCCCAACAACCAAAAATTATTTCTCAACACACACTAAGTTCAGATTGATCAGATATATTATGATGTTTAAATATTTGCTCCATGCATAAAAACAAAAAACAGTATCTTTGACAGACAAGCATTTGTATTTTATCAACAGTGGTCTGCCCTGTAGAGGAGTGCACTTCCTTCTGAGCTCACTCCCAAAATGTACCGTTCACAAAACCCATGTGATTACCCGGTAGTCATGTCAACAGCGTGCTCGGAAATGGTTAGAATTGCAAGGTAGAATCACACTGCCCACAACCATTCATTCATATGTAAAAACATCACTCCATTTTGGAGATATGCCTCATTTGGGGAAAGGAAAAACTTAAAAAAAGACATTCAAGTAAACAACAACCAAATACTTGGAAAAGGATTTTGTAAACTTGTCATTCTAAAGGGTTTTTGTTTCGCAGCATCACTAAATTAATCTCCTATGAAAAAGTACACCTACGTTATATCCCATCCTGTTTTGTATAAAAGCACACCGTAAAATACAAGTTTTTCTGATAAAGTGATCTCTCTCTTCCAGCCCACCTTGTGGATGTTTTTTTATTCAGTGTATCCATCCCCTTCATGAAAATCAATCTTTACATCTCTAGAGAGATATAATGGACAGTGTCCACTGGACAAAAAGAAAAGCCAACTGTTTAGTTACAGCCGTAGAAGAGTTTCACAGCAAGTATCTATAGCGGGCCAGCTGGAATCCACAGGACTTTATTTTGTTCTTGATCAACAGTTGTCATAATCTGAGTGCAAATGCTTGAAAGGGCTCCTCCCTGGACAATACCTACACAAATAAAAACAAACACCACAATCACACACATCAGGCACCAGAAAAAGCAATTCATAGCCAGGTATTTTCCTACATAGTATTTATCAACAGACCATGAATAGATTAACCACTTGGATATCTGGCAGATACAAGAATGTGAGTAAAACAATAACAAGGATAAATAGAGCAGAGAGGTTAAGTATTTAATATCAGACTCTCCTGCGAACCCTTAAAATGACAAAAGAAGGCAGTCAGAGCTCTGGCTATAATCAACTAAGACAACTGTTTTGTTACTGAGTCCTTTGCTTGCTATTTTCAGAAGCATGTGGCAGAATTTGTTCATTACCCCTAAAAATGGCCAGAACCCCAGAATATCATAATAAACCCACACTGTTGAGCAAGGGGTGTTCAAGGTTTAATATTTATATAGTAATACACACAGACTATAGCTGTAGCAACTAGGTGCTGTTTACAAATATTTAAAACTAATTGTATAGGGATGAGCTAAATAAAACCACCATTGCTGTTACCACAAATTTATTGAGACAACTATGTTGGGGAGGGGCGGAGGGGGAAGAGAAGCAAATAGCCATAAATACACCTTGCATAGTGTTCGTAGGCATGCCAAACTCAGATGACGGTGGAATGCCAAGCAGAACAAGTTCAAAAGGCAAGGGCCTTCTTGTTGAGAAATCCCTGATATATCTGTCCTGGAGTGCTCAGTTTGAAGAATTAACAGCGAGAGTTTTGCATCACGGTGTTACCCACTAAAATAAACTTTGCCCAGGACCCTCAAGCCATTCAAAATAACTAATGCAGGCAGTTAGGAACAGGTAATGGGACTTAACCAAAATAATAATAATCATCCCCAAAGCTTGGGCCTTGCCTGTACTGACACTTCTTAATGTCTGCCTGCTATTCCTTGCTCTAGCAGTTGTTCAGCTGCAACAGCACTCATGTAGGAAAAAAAATCCGTGTAGACAAGGGAGAGCAGACCATAGGAGCTTTAAAACGTTAGAGTGCCTTGCATATCTTAACAGCCGTGCCTGAAAGAGCCTGTGACCACAGCTAACAATTCTCTCGAGTAATAGGAAAAAATAGCAAGAGGCAGACTTTTCCTCGTCTGAACCGAGACACTTGAATACCACTTCAACAGAAAGGTATTCTAATGGACACAGCACACAGTGCCGCACCAACACCATGAGAATTTGGAAGCAGAATGCACGGACTCAAAAAAGGACAAAAAGGGGCATTTAAAAGGCAATACAGATCAAACGAAGTGTGCAGTCTCTGAACTGAAGATGGCCTAAATGGGCTATTAGCCAAAAAAGGTTGGTTACTGAAGCAGCCCCAGGGTTCAGATCTGTAGGTCTGCTGCACACCAGGGAGAAAAAGCTATTGCGTGCAAGATTACATATCACTCTATGCTTAAACTACACACTTTTCTCAGAATCCTGCTATGTCAGTTAAGCACTGAATCTTAGCTTGGAATTTTTAGTATGTCAAAAGTATAATTCAGTTTCAACACAGCTGTTTTGGTTCTGTCTGTCTCAGTAGCATCCAGGAGCATCAAATTGGGGCCTGCAAACTGCTAGGCACCGTACAGACAGTCCATGCCTCAAAGAACTTACACTTTAAGGCCCCTCATCATGCAATGAGTCTCTGGTCACACATGGTTTGTTGCAGGATTGGCCTCAATTAAGACAACATGCAACAAAGGGGTGCAACACCCACACACAAGGAGCAGAGGATAGCATGTGGTTATATAAAAACTAGTTATGTGCACATTTACAAGGTTCATGGTCACTTCTTTGAAAATGGAGTACTTCTCTTATTTAAGCTGGAAAACTGCCATTGTTAATGATTTGTGACTTTTCTCAACATGTAATAGTAATACCTTCTTATGGAGAGACAGACCTGTCCCTAAAGTGTAAGAGTGTGTGTGTGTGTGTGTATGTGTGTGTAAAACCACTTCTGTAAAAATCACAGCAGAATTTCTTCTAAATTAAAAGAAACGTTAAGGACTATAGCTCTATATAAGGGCTAGGAATTATTAATATTGTTATAAGGACTTCATGCTGTGTTCCTAGGCACCGTTTGTGTAATGTTGGGGCCATTTGCTTCTATAGTACAGAGATTTCAGCCTGAATGTTATGAGCTTATGCAGAAGAGTTTGGTGCTGAAATGAACTGAAGTATCCTTTAAGTACTGCAGCACTGTCTCGGGTAAAATATGTTCGAAAACATTCCTCAAACGTTCAGTGGCTCATATTATGAACTATGCCATCAAAACAGACCTCTGATATGATTATGTATAATGGTTCCATTCCAATAGCTGTGTACTCGCCTTCTTAAAAACCCCTATAACATGTCATATCAATATGTATTATTCCAAATCCATTAAATCCCAGTATAGCTTTCTTACATTAGAAATCCGAAATACACCACACTCTAGAGGAATAATAATAATAAAAAAATCAATGCATGTTGTAATGTTATGACAACAGTCACATCAATAACACTTACACTTTATATAGTTTCATCATAATGCTCCCAATACTGGGTCATTTGTGCCAAGCCATTTTGAGAGGTGTCATTATACTATATATAGAAGATACTCTAAATACTAAAACTAAAACTCCATGTTATAGATTAAGCAGTTGTGACTTTTTTTTTAAAAGATTATATTCTCTTTAAAAAGAATCAGAGCACAAACATGACCAGAACCAAAGGAGAGAAAAAACACAAAAAAACCTGCTATGTACGAAAGGCTCTTTTGAAACATAGTTTAGGTGGAACAACCTGAAACTGTGTTCTTACTGAAATGATTATAAATACTAACCTGTGAAGTACTTGCTATATTCCTGTTCTATTTTTTGAGCTGTCTCAAATTGTTCTTTGGAATGTTTTTGTGTAACTTTGTCCCTCAGAAAGATTGGGTCTTTTTGCTCTCTGTAAGAAAAGAAATAAAATGTCTGCTTAGCAGTTATTCTTTCAACAGACTGTAGATGAATTACATACAGTTATGGTAATGTCCAAGCCTCTGATTAATATTCAGGCACACAGAGAGCGCCGTCTGGTGATTCAGTGTAATATTACCAGTAATATCAGGTTTAAGTGATAGCCAAGGCATATGAATTGCTGTAATAGGAAACATAGCAGAACATTAGCAGAAATTCACTCAGTGAAAGCAAAGAAAAAAACCTCCAACTTCTCCAGTTTTAAAGTTCAGTTCAGAAGTCTCAGATCATCCTACACTTTGAAAAAAACACTTCTTTATCAAAACAACACGAAAGAAACTGCTCTATCAAAGGACTTAAAATGTAAATGCATTTATTAAACTTTACAAATAAACAGAGAATCTTATGATATAAATTGGGGTGGAGGGGTGGGGGGGCAGCTAGGGACAAGCTGTAAAGTCCTCCTCCAGATCAACATTTCTCCAGCACTTAGGAGCATTTAGATCCATGGATTCGGTTCAAGCCCATCTCTACAAAATACTCTCATAAGAATGAAACCAAGATCCGATGTTTAGCTATCACACTCTGGATACTGTAGCAATTGGGCGAGGTAGGTACAGAGCCCTAACGTAAACAGAGGCTCTCCTAGGGGTTAGTGAGTAAAGGCAAGTTTCTGTCTGAAAGGGTGAAAAGCAGATAGCCTGCCTTTGCAATGCTGAGCTAATACATCAAGCTGGGCCAGTGTTGGCGTTATTGTAGACACTGTCCTAGTATTAGGGTGGTTTTCAAAAGCATCTAATTGACCTAGGAGCACAGATCCCTCTGAAAATTAATGAGACCTGTGCTAAATTACTTAGGTGCTTTTGAAAATCCTACTATTAAACTTTTGATGCCCAGGACAGGTATTCCCAATGCTAATATGCTAATACACCTAATTTTGATGACAGGTTTCAGAGTGGTAGCTGTGTTAGTCTGTATCAGCAAAAAGAACGAGGAGTACTTGTTGCACCTTAGAGACTAACAAATTTATTTGGGCATAAACTTTCGTAGGCTAAAACCCACTTCAGCGGATGTATGCAGTGGAAAATACAGTAGGAAGACAGACAAACAGACACATACAGAGAACGTGAAAAAATGGGTGTTGCCGTACCAACTCTAACTAGACTAATCAATTAAGGTGGGCTATTATCAGCAGGAGAAAAAAAACTTTTGTAGTGATAATTAAACTTTGAAATGGGCCATCCTGATTATCACTACAAAAGTTTTTTTTTCTCCTGCTGATAATAGCTCACCTTAATTGATTAGTCTCGTTAAAGTTGGTATGGCAACACCCATTTTTTCCATGTTCTCTGTATAGCTATATATCTTCCTACTGTATTTTCCACTGCATGCATCTGATGAAGTGAGTTTCAGCCCACGAAAGCTTATGCCCAAATAAATTTGTCAGTCTCTAAAGTGCCACAAGTACTCCTCCTAATTTTGATGAGCACTGAGAAATCAGGACTTGTGTCAATAGTTCAATCTTTCACAATATTATATTTAAGTTGGTTTTCAAAAACAGTAGCTGTAAGAGTGCTCAACAGCAGCAGTTGCTTTATATTTTGAAAATCTAGCCAATAGCTAGTACAGCTTTACAGAGAATATGAAGCATACAGTGCTCACTTTGTTTATTTTTAATTACAAATATTTGCATTGTAAACAATGAAAAATAGTTTTTCAATTCATCTCATACAAGTAGTGAAAGTTATCATGAAAGTTGAACTTAGAAATGTAGAATTATGTAAAAAAAACTGCATTCAAAAATAAAACAATGTAAAACTTTAGAGCCTAGAAAGTCCGCTCAGTCCTACTTCTTGTACAGCCAATTGCTCAGACAAACAAGTTTGTTTACATTTGCAGGAGATAATGCTGCCCGCTTCTTGTTTACAAAGTCATCTGAAAGTGAGAACAGGCATTCGTATGGCATTGTTATAGCCGGCGTTGCAAGATATTTATGTGCTAAATACGCTAAAGATTAGTATGTCCTGACGCATGTTCATTTCCATCATTTGAGTCAGATGCCACCAGCAGAAGGCTGATTTTCCGTTTTGGTGGTTTGGGTTCTGTAATTTCTGCATCAGAGTGTTGTGCTTTTAAGACTTCTGAAATGCATGCTCCACAGATTTTGGAAAGCACTTCAGATTCTTAAACCTTGGGATGAGTGCTGTAGCTATCTTTAGAAATTTCATATTAGTACCTTCTTTGCATTTTGTCAAATCTGCAGTGAAAATGTTCTTAAAATGAACATATGCTGAGTCATCATCGGAGACTGCTATAACATGAAATATATGGCAGAATGCAGGTAAAACGCTAAGAAATATACAATTCTCCCCCCAAGGAGTTTAGCCATAAATTTAATTAATGCATTATTTTTTTAATGAGAGTCATCAGCGTAAAAGCATGTCCTCTGGACTGGTGGCCGAAGCATGAAGGGGCATACAAATAGTTAGCATATCTGGCATGTAAATGCCTTGCAATGCCAGCGACAAAAGTGCCGTGCAAAAGCCTGTTCTCACTTTCAGGCCTTGTCTACACTACGAAATTAGGTCGAATTTATAGAAATCGGTTTTGTAGAAAGCGTTTTTATACAGTCGATTGTGTGTGTCCCCACACAAATGCTCTAAGTGCATGTAGTCAGCGGAGTGTGTCCACAGGACTGAGGCAACTGTCGACTTCTGGAGTGTTTCACTGTGGGTAGCTATCCCACAGTTCCCGGAGTCTCTGCCGCCCACTGGAATTCTGGGTAGAAATCCAAGTGCCTGATGGGGCTAAAACATTGTCGCAGGTGGTTCTGGGTACATATCATCAGGCTCCCCCTTCCCTCCCTCCCTCCCTCCATGAAAGCAAGGGCAGACTATTGTTTTGCACCTTTTTTCTTCAGTTACCTGTGCAGACGCCATACCACGGCAAGCATGGAGCCCACTCAGCTAACCGTCACCGTATGTCTCCTGAGTGCTGGCAGACGTGGTACTGCATTGCTACACTGCAGCAGTTTATTGCCTTTTGGCAGCGGACAGTGCAGTATGACTGGTAGCCATCGTTGACGTAGTCCAAGGTGCTCTTTTAACGGACCTCGATGAGGTCAGGGGCGCCTGGGCAAATAAGGGAGTGACTCAGCCAGGTCATTTCCCTTTTAAGTTTCGTCTCATGACGATTCAGTCCTACCGGCAGTGCACTGTCTTTTAATCTGCAGCCAACAGAAGACGACGGCCAGCAGTCATACTGCACGTCTTCTGCCGAGCACCCAGGAGATGACGATGGCTAGTGGTCGTACTGCACAGTCTGCTGCCAGCAGGATGTATGAAGATAGATGAAGTGGATCAAAACAAGAAATAGATCAGATTTGTTTTGTATTCATTTTCTCCTCCCCCCCTCCGTGAAATCAACGGCCTGCTAAACCCAGTTTTGAGTTCTATCCTTGAAGGGGCCATTCCGTTTCCTGCAAAGCCACCCCTTTGTTGATTTTAATTCCCTGTAAGCCAACCCTGTAAACCATGTTGTCAGTCGCCCCTCCCTCCGCCAGAGCAACGGCAAACAATCGTTTCACGCCCTTTTCCCTGGATTGCCTGAGCAGGAGCAGATGCCATAGCACAGCAAGCATGGAGCCCGTTTAGCTCACCATAGCAGTTATGACCATTGTAAACACCTCACACATTATCGTGCAGTGTATGCAGAACCAGCACCTGAAAAACCAGGTGAGGAATACATGAACACAGATTTCTCTAAAACTGCGTTCCCCCGCAATTTGGAGATCATGGTGTTAATGGGGCAGGCTCATGCCATGGAACGCCGATTCTGGGCCCGGGAAACAAGCACAGCATGGTGGGACCGCATAGTGTTGCGGGTCTGGGATGATTCCCAGTGGCTCCGAAACTTTTGCACGTGTAAGGGCACTTTCATGGAACTTTGTGACTTGCTTTCCCCTGCCCTGAAGCGCAAGAATACCAAGATTAGAGCAGCCCTCACAGTTCACAAGCGAGTGGCAATAGCCCTGTGGAAGCTTGCAACACCAGACAGCTACCGGTCAGTCGGTAATCAATTTGGAGTGGGAAAATCTACTGTGGGGGTTGCTGTGATGCAAGTAGCCAGCACAATAATTGAGCTGCTGCTATCAAAGGTAGTGACTCTGGGAAATGTGCAAGTCATACTAGATGGCTTTGCTGCAATGGGATTCCCTAACTATGGTGGGGCTATAGACGGAACGCATATCTCTATCTTGGGACCGGACCACCAGGGCAGCCAGTATATAAACTGCAAGGGGTACTTTTCAATGGTGCTGCAAGCACTGGTGGATCACAAGGGACGTTTCATCAACATCAATGTGGGATGGCCGGGAAAGGTACATGACGCTCGCACCTTCAGGAACTCTGGTCTGTTTCAACAGCTGCAGCAAGCGACTTACTTTCCAGACCAGAAAATAATCGTTGGGGATGTTGAAATGCCTATAGTTATCCTTGGAGACTCAGCCTACCCCTTAATGCCATGGCTCATGAAGGCGTACACCGGCACCCTGGACCGTAGTCAGGAGCTGTTCAGCTACTGACTGAGCAAGTGCAGAATGGTGGTAGAATGTGCATTTGGACGTTTAAAGGGTCACTGGCGCAGTTTACTGACTCGCTCAGACCTCAGCGAAATCAATATTCCCATTGTTATTGCTGCTTGCTGTGTGCTCCACAATCTCTGAGTGAGTAAGGGGGAGACTTTTATGGTGGGGTGGGAAGTTGATGCAAATCACCTGGCCGCTGAATACGCGCAGCCAGACACCGGGGCAGTTAGAAGAGCACAGAAGGAAGCGGTGAGCATCAGAGAAGCTTTGAAAACCAGTTTCATGACTGGACAGGGTACTGTGTGACACTTCTGTTTGTTCTCCTTGATGAAAACCTGCCCCCTTGGTTGACTCTAATTCCCTGTAAGCCACCCGCCCTCCCGCCTTCGATCACAGCTTGCTTGCAAAGGAAAAAGTCACTGTCATTTAAAAAACATGTATTCTTTATTAATTGATTATAAAAATAGGGAGAAAGAAAAGGAGTACTTGTGGCACCTTAGAGACTAACAAATTTATTTGAGCATCAGCTTTCGTGAGTTACAGCTTATGCTCAAATAAATTTGTTAGTCTCTAAGGTGCCACAAGTACTCCTTTTCTTTTTTGAGGATACAGACGAACACGGCTGCTACTCTGAAAAATAGGGAGATAACTCAAAAGGTAGCCTGGGTGCGGTGTGGGAGGAGGGTAGGAGGGAAGGAAAAGGCCACTTTAAAACTTGTTGAATGCCAGTCTTCTCTTGCTTGGGCTGTCCACTGGGGTGGAGTGGTTGGGTGCCCAGAGCCTCCCCCTCCGCGTTCTTGGGCATCTGGGTGAGGAGGCTATGGAACTTGGGAGGACGGAGGGCGGTTAAGCAGGGGCTGCAGCGGCAGTCTGTGATCCTGCTGCCGTTCATGGACCTCCACCAGACGCCGGAGCATGTCCGTTTGCTCCCGCAGTAGGCCCAGTGTTTCCTCATGCCTCCTCTGATCTTCCTGACACCACCTCTCCTCACGTTCATCGGCCACCATCCTGTACTCTGCTATTGCGTCCCTCTGCACAGCTCTGTCAGTGCCAGACGACTGCATGAACTCCGAGAACATTTCCTCGCGCATGCGTTTTTTTCGCCGCCTTATCTGAGATAGGCTTTGGGACAGAGGAGGGAGGCTTGAAACATTTGCAGCTGCTGGAGGAAAAAAAGGGAGTGAAGTATTAAAAAAAAGATACATTTTACAGAACAATGGCTATACTCTTTCACAGCGAACAACACTATTCACATTACATAGCACAGCACATGTGATTTTGGTACAAGGTTGCATTTTGCATCTTATATTGAGTGCCTGCGGCTTTGGTGTTAGAGATCACACATGCAGGGCCGGGCAACAGAATTGGGCTTGCAGGCAGCCATGGTAAGCCATAGTCTTTTGGCTTCTGCAACCTTCATAACAGCAGCCCCCTCCTTCCCCATACCAAGCAAAGCCCGTTGAGTTGGCCATTTAGTGCTGCGGTTTTCCTGTTAACGTGCAGCAGCAGAAACCAAACAAACCCTCTCGCCCCATCCAGTTCTCTGGGATGATCGCTCTTCCTCTCCCCCAACCGCCTGACTGGTATCAGGGAAGATCCCTGCTAGCCTAATGCGAACAGCTCAGCATCAATGACCCCCCCCCGGCCCCCGGGTGGCTAACTGTGGGGAGGATTTCTTTTCAGCCACAGGCAAACAGCCCAGCGGGAGTGGCCATCTCTGAATGCCCCCTTAATTAAATTCCCCTATTTCAACCAGGTTACCATGAACGATATTACTCTCCTGAGGATAACACAGAGAGATAAAGAACAGATGTTGCTTGAATGCCAGCGAACACCAGGACCATACGCCGCCAGGCTTTGTCATGCAATGATACCAGATTACTTGCTACTAGCATGGTGTAGTAAAGTGTCCTACCATGGAGGACGGAATAAGGCTGCTCTCCCCAGGAACCTTCGGCAAAGGCTTTTAGAGTACCTCCAGGAGAGCGCCATGGAGATGTCCCTGGAGGATTTCCGCTCCATCCCCAGACATGTTAACAGACTTTTCCAGTAGCTGTACTGGCCACAAATGCATCCCAAGTCCTCAGGGCTACTTAATCATTAAAAAACGCTTCCTTTTATAACATGTATTATATTTAAAAAGGTACACTCACCAGAGGTCCCTTTTCTAGCTTTGTTGGGTTGGGAGGGTATTTCAGGCAAAGTGATAAAGATCCTGGCTGTCGGGGAGAACCGTGTGCTGTGTGCTCTCCTTAAGCTCGTCCTCCTCATCTTCCCCATCTGCAAAATCCTCAGCCATGGCGGAGAGTACCCCATCATCAGAGTCCACGGACAGGGGTGGGGTAGTGGTGGCGGCCCCCCCCCAGAATTGCATGCAGCTCAGCGAAGAAGCGGCATGTCTGGGGCTCTGTCCCATAGCATCCGTTTGATTCTTTGGTTTTCTGGTACGCTTGTCTGAGCTCCTTAAGTTTCACGCGGCACTGTGTTGAGCCCCTGCTGTAGCCTCTGTCCTGCATGGCCTCAGAGATTTTTTCAAATGTTTTGGCATTTTGTCTTTTGGAACGTAGTTCTGATAGCACGGATTCCTCTACCCATACAGCAATCAGATCCAGTACCTCCCGTTCGGTCCATGCTGGAGCTCTTTTTCGATTCTGGGACTGCATGGTCACCTGTGCTGATAAGCTTGCCTGACCAAACAGGAAATGAGATTCAAAAGTCCCCGGGGCTTTTCCTGTACACCTGGCCAGTGCATCCGAGTTCAGAGTGCTGTCCAGAGCAGTCACAATGGTGCACTGTGGGATAGCTTCCGGAGGCCAATACCTTCGAATTGCGTCCACACTAACCCTAATTCGAAATGGCGATGTCTATTTCAGCGCTAATCCCCTCGTTGGGGAGGAGTACAGATATCAGTTTTCAGAGTCCTTTATGTCGAAAAAATGGCTTCGTTGTGTGGACGGGTGCAGGGTTAATTCGGATTTAATGCTGCTAAATCAGACAAACTTGTAGTGTAGACCAGGCCTTAGGTGATGTAAATAAGAAGTGGGCAGCATTATCTCCCGTAAATGTAAACAAACTTATTTCTCTTATATCAGAGGGGTAGCCGTGTTAGTCTGGATCTGTAAAAGTGTCCTGTGGCACCTTATAGACTAACAGATGTATTGGAGCAAAAAAACTTCAGGACCAGACTTCAAAGAGAAATTGCTGAGCTTCAGTTCATTTGCAAATTTGACACCATCAGCTCAGGATTAAACAAAGACTGTGAACGGCTAGCCAACTACAAAAACAGTTTCTCCTCCCTTGGTGATCACATCTCAACTGCTGAAGAGGGCCTCATCCTCCCTGATGGAACTAACCTCGTTATCCCTAGCCTGATTCTTACTTGTATATTTATACCTGCCTCTGGAAATTTCTACTACATGCATCCGACAAAGTGGGTATTGACCCACGAAAGCTTATGCTCCAATACGTCTGTTAGTCTATAAGGTGCCACAGGACTCTTTGCCGCTTTTATTTCTCTTAGCGATTGGCAGAACAAGAAGTCGGACTGAGTAGACTTGTAGGCTCTAAAGTTTTACATTGCTTTGTTTTTTAATGCAGTTGTGTAACAAAAAAGAAATCTACATTTGTAAGTTACAATTTTGCGCTAAAGAGATCGCACTACGGTACTTGTATGTGGTGAACAGAAAAATACTATTTCTTTTGTTTACAAATATTTGCAGTGTAAAATGATAATAAAAATAATATAAAGTGAGCACAGTACACTTCGTATTCTGTGTTGTAATTGAAATCAATATATTTGAAAACATAGAAAAACCATCCAAAAATATTTTAATAAATGGAAATTGGTATTCTATTGTTTAACAGTGTGATTAAAACTGCGATTAATCGCAATTAATTTTTGAGTTAATCACATGAGTTAACTGCGATTAATAAACAGCACTACTTAATATACTTCCTATCAAAACATGGTAAGTTACAGACGTCCCTTCATTTTATCCCTCTGTTGCATGGTGATAAGTCTTCCTACCACACAAGAGAGTTGCAAGGCTTAATTGATTCACATTTAAAAAGGTTTTCTGAGATACTACAATGAAACTGGCTATACAAACTATTATTGTATAACAAAACAAGTGGCTGTAAGCTATATTTCTCACTTACTTGATTTGCTTAGCATTTTTGTACCGAATGAAGATGACAATAGGGTAGATATGAACACTGTGAAGCCGTTCAATGGCATGAGGAGCAATGTCCAACAGACAATGACAGTCCTAAAAACAAACATTGGGGTAGAAAGCATAAGCAAAGTTACAAAGCCCCTATTAATTCCCCAGTGAAACCCCAGTAACTCAACAGAATTTCTGTTTTACATTTATATAACAGGCCATTAAGCATATTTTCAACACCTTTTACACATAAAATATGTTGTGGCAGTAACTACAACGTGCATTGTATGTAAAGGATTTATCAATCCTCAGGATGACAAAAATACCTGAAACAGTAAACCCCATTTAGAGTACAAAAAAATCTATTAATAAAAAAGACACTTATTTGAGGATATTGATATTAAATTGAAAATTTAGCTTAAAACAGATGGAATCAACTAATCTCAAACCTATTGCAAAAAAGGATTTAGGTATTCATTTATTTTCATCTTTAAGAACAGATTAATAGTCTTTCATATCTCCTAATGAGACCAAATATGCAGCTCTACTCCTTTAGCGGTAAGAGTATATATCCGGTTTGACAGAACACATTTTAATTCTGTTAACGTCAGTTTAGAGGTTTCTTTCTTGCAGTGTTTATGCACTGGCAAATTTCATGCTCTGAGCAATGTCAAGAAACAAAGTACTTAACTTTTTATTTTTCAAAATATTTTTAATTCAAACTATGCAATGCACAGAATTTCTATTTTTAACTAATATTAAGATGACTTAAAAAAGAACCACTAACACAACCAATTTCTCTACATCTAGGATTATAAGAGAGTCTTTAAATAGTGACATGATAAAACAAGGTAACAGCATTTATATTAAATTACCTTGTTTTTCTCAATAAGAAAATGCCCTGGGAACAATTCTTCGGTAATCTTTTGAAACAGAACAATATCAGTACTAGTACAATTTTTTTCAGGAAACACAGTATATAATAATTATCTGTAAATTTTACAGTGAACTGGAGAGCTGGAGAAGATACCATAGAGAGACAATCACCTTCTCTGTTATCTCCTTTATTGAAGCTACTGTTGTCACATCAAAATGTCCACTCCTTCGTTTGTAATCGATAAACAAACAGTCTTTCACTCCCCGTTCGATGGCTTGTTGGGAAGCTTTCATCACTTCTGTTTCAAAGAACAAAAATTGATACTTCGTTCATTCATATTTCTTAACCACAGAACAAGATTTACAGGATATTATACAGAATTTCACGGTCCTGCTTTTTCCTACCCCTTCTAGAATCTTTGTGCTACCCTTTAATCCAGTTGTTAGGTCAGATGATTGTGTTATTTCTACAAGTACAAATAAACATGACATGGCAAAACACACAAAGTTGCTCTCAATCCTTGTACACTTACCAAGGGGACATCTACAAAATTTTCCAGGAGATTCTTTGACTAGCATGTCCTTCACAGCATCAGGTAATGGTCCTAGAATGAGTACGGGCCTGGGAGAGGTACAATCCACCTTCTGTACACGCTGATAAGCCAGACTCACAGAATCTAAAAAGAGAAACAAAAAAGTCACTTATGCACAATTTAAAATGTTTTTGCAGTATCGTTCAGATAATTAAAGGGGGAGGGGGGTGAGGGAGGCAACCCTGCTCAAAAGGTTAAATTTTAATATTCATACATCGGGAAATGGACTTTTTCTTTTTAAGTTAATAAATTACAAGCACTAATTTGAGATGATGATCTGGTTTGTTATTTAATGCCTATGTTGGTGCCTGAGGACAATGAGTGTCACAGTACACAGATGATTCTCCAGTGTTTATATGCAGACCAACCAGAAAACCACACTTCTCTCAGGTGTTTTTCATAGCCTTAAGAAAACTAAATCTAACAAAGGCACTTGCCATCCAAGAAAGGAATGGAGTCTGTACTGATTGTATCGAGAGCCAGTAAATCTTTTCCATCTTTGGAACCACTACGCTTGTGTTTATGCTTTCTTCTAAAGAATGATCTTCGAGCTGCTGCTGACAAAGTCTTAGTGGAGCTGTTTTCATCTTTAGTCTCAGACATACTGTGTCTCCTATAGAACTCCTGGTCCATCCTAGAGTGAAATGGATTGAGTAATTGTATTCAGGTTAGTACCAACACATAGGGATTTTAAGAGCCATTCTTCACAAAAGAAAAGAAAAAAATCTAACATCACTAAGGAAAACTTGTATAGGACAATTGCCAAATGATCTCAAGCAGCATCAACAGAATATCCATAACCTGAAAAGATACCTGAAACTACTATTGATCAACATTGGAAGAATATATCCCATGTATTATATCTCTTAAGTCTGACTTTCTGGGCCTTTCTTCAGGGACACTAGAATGTGGGTAAACATAATAGCACTGGAAAGAGCTTGACAAGTTCTGGCTGAGAATTTTGGGGAAGATTTTTAAAGGTAATTAGGCCCCTAATTCCCAATGAAAGCCCACCTCCCCCTACATAGACATATAACCACACTTTTGGTTATAAGATGCTGCACATTGTATTACCATTATTGTTTCTGCAAACTAGGTGATTAGTTTTGTTTAACAGTCTAACACAAAATTACTATCATGCAGTTGTATTAAAAATGGAAGCAAACTTACTGTACACATAGCAGGTATCTTTATGTCTGCAAAATAGGGTCAGTTCCTTCTTACTTAGCTCACAGGAACAGTGTGAGGATAATTATGTCTATACTGTGTTTTCAAAATGTTATGTAACAGCTAGCCTACGTATTAGCATAGCTTCTATGGTCAAGAATTGCTTACAAGTTCTTATGAGGAAAGGAGAGAACGGAAGTGCAGAAATAGCAGTGGTCTTAAAAAGGTGAGACTATTTGCCTACTGAGTGATACTGAATGCGACTTCACTAAACAGCTAAAAATGTAATGGCTGAATAAAGGTTATATTCTGCCCTTGATCTTGGTGAATATTTCCCTTTGGTAATAGTGGATTGTTTTGGGTACACAGTCCTCAATCTACACATATCATAATTCAAAAGGGAATGGCTGTCTAAAAATGGGTCTTACACCCCCAATTTAAATGATATTTCTGGTTACTGTCTGAATCTTCTTTCACAGCACAACACTGTGTGTCATTTCTACTTTTAGGAGGTTACTATTAGCAGCACTAAAAATGACTTGACAGAACGTCTTATTTAATTAGATGTTATTAAAACATGCCACCCCTAAAACACTTCTAGGAAACTAATACCTCACGGGAATCACACAGCTTTGAAGACTGAAACCCGGTTCTTTTTTGTTTATAGCTCATCATTCAGGAACTTTAAGAAACAATTTTTCACTAAGGTCACTTACATATATTTGCTGGGAATCTGTCCTCTCTCTAGCTTTTGAGCATTCTCATCCAGCTGCCAAGCCATCCAGCAACCAAAGTTCCCCTGTGGTAGGGTATCATCAACATACAAAATGTCATCCTTCTTAAAGTTTAAATCCTGCTCCACCTCTGCCAGCCGATCATAAAGTGCTCTGCAAAGAGAGACATAAATAGACTCTATAACTGAAGCTCCACCATCTCAAGTGAAGCAAGTGGTGTAGATATTTAGGAAAATAAATGACTCTCCACTGGAGTTGGTCTCTAACATTCCAAATGCCCATATACTCACAGTACAGTATGCAGTTAAACTTGGGATACAGGTTGCACACTTCCAGCAATTGCAAAGAATCAAGGGCTAACTGAGATACGGCATTGTGCTTTGAATTTCCAAAATACGCCAAAAGACTGATTTGCTGCCTCTCTAATCCCTTGCATACAATGGTCAGCATACTATTCTAGCAGCTTTGTATGGTCCTTTACCTTGAAACTATTTGCAACTACATGTGATTCTTACTGGAAAAATCTAAGCTATATAATGGACATGTGAATACCTGATATAGAATCCATCTCCAGGTAACTCTTTAATCTTGTTGAATTCTTCTATTCTGTACTGAGCCTTCACTCTGATATTTTCTCCTGGCTTCAGCATTTCAAGGTAGGCTTCCTCAGCTGTTTTATTTCGCATATCAACAGATCCATACTGTAAAATACAGAAAAACCCAAAACTCATGAGGTCTCAGAGCTGACGCTGTGTCTTAATACATTGTAGGATTAGAGTGGAGCCTGAGGAAGCATTTGAAGTGGGAGTTTGGTTCTCCCAATGGCAGGTACGTGTGTAAAAGGAAAACTCACCACAGCATGATACAACATTAGTGTAGGCACCAGTTAAAATGTCCAGTACTGAGAGAGAGAGAGAGGAGGATTTAAAAAAAATCCCTAAAGAAAATGCAGTGGATATACACAAGAAGAGAAAAAGCCACCATATTCCCTTAGCTATTCTGGACACAAAAGCAGGAAATCACAAGATTCCAAGGAGAACTTATTTAGGATTCCTAGAGAGAAAAAGTGAGTGAGGGGTTAGGTGCACCTTACATCGACCTAGCTATGGAAACATCTTCGCTTAAATTTGGCTCCCGCTGACGCCAGTGCATCTCTACGCTGATTGTGACACCACCTCCCCGAACAGCATAGAGTCATGGTTGATGTAATTAGGTCGACGCAGTGTCAGTGTAGACAGTGTGTTCCTTATGTCGACTGTTATCGCTTTCAGGAGCCATCCCACAATGCGCTGGCTGATTGTGTACAGGTTGACATAATCTTGTAGACAAGGCAGTAATCTCTTTTATTGCACCAACTTTGGTTGGTGAGAGAGACAAGCTTTCGAACCACACAGAGCTCTTCAGGTCTGGGAAAGATACTCCCAGAGTCACAGCAAAATGCAGGGTGGAACAGATTGTTAGTGTAAGTACAGGTTTCAGAGTGGCAGCCGTGTTAGTCTGTATCCGCAAAAAGAAAAGGAGTACTTGTGGCACCTTAGAGACTAACAAATTTATTTGAGCATACGTTTTCGTGAGCTATAGCTCACTGCATCGGATGCATGCATTTCTTTTAGCACATATTGTGAGGTACTATTCAAGGTTGAGTGGCCTGTTAACACCTCTGCAGTCAGAGGACAAAAAGAGGGGGTTAATGGGGTACAGATTGTTGTAATAAACCACAAATTCAGTGTCTCTGTTCAGTCCATGATTTTTATTTTAGGATTCGTAGGCAGACCAAGTGGTCTGAATCAAGGCGTAAACTTAAAAACAAACCCTGCACATCTCCTACGTGTGGACCAGTATCAAGGAGTAAGCAGGTACAATGGGAACATCTACCAAAGTACTCACCTGCACTCCATCACATTAGTATCTAGGCATCTCGCAAACAATGTATTTATCCTCCCAATACCCCTGTCAAGTAGGGAAATATCCCCATTTCACAGATGGAAAAACAAGGCACAGAAAGATTAAGGGGTTGCCCAAGGTCACCAGGGAAATCTGTGATACAAGACCAAACTTCTCTGTAACATGGAACCTCCCTTCTTCTTGCTTCCACCACACGGGGAGAGGGCTTGCGGTCCATAGGGGCTATTGTATCCTATCTACAGAGTCAAGGCTCAAGGTTTCCCATCTAGAGCCTACTACCCTCTAGAGCACTAATTCTCAACTCCTAGTACATGTACACCAACACTGGTACTTCAAGCTTGTGTGTAGTTTGTACTCTAAACTCCCTGTCTTTAGCAAAGATAAGCCTCCGTGTAGTGTCAGTTATTGTCAACTATTTAACTGTGAGAGTTAAAACCAAGGCCCTGAGTCCCCAGTGGTATATTATGGCCCAAGCTATGGGGCAGGGACTCCAGAATCATGGCGTACTCCCTCCCCTCCTCAACAGTCTGTTCCAATCAGCACAGAGTTCTTTGTGCAATTTAGGGTTTTCATACTAATCCAATTTTTCGTATGCTGCTGCAGTTGTTACTCTTGCAGCGTGCTGCAGATTTTTGTACTGACAAGGAGTAAGTGCAGAGTAGGTCATGGGACAGTTTTCGTTCTGGGAAGTGGATGACTCTCCTCAGAGCAGTCTAAGGTCTTCTCTGCACTGAGAGTTTGTCCTAATTACAGCCATCTGTGTGGCTGAACCACTGCAAACCCCTACTGCAGACAGATGAAACTGTGCTAACTGTGGCTCATAGCAGTTTACCACGTCTACACTAGGAATTATACATATGGCTGACAAAGAGATTAATTTCTCATAATGGTAATTTCACATTTCCCAGCAAGTAGTTGCCCCACGACACCCTGTCCCAGTTGCCACTCCAGCCAACAATGAAAAATAAGCACATTTCTGCTAAAACGATCACCTGTGAAATAGTTCCTGTTGGCATTTAAACACTTAAGAGACTTGCAACGTAACACACCATCGAAATGATGGGGACAGTTCACAGATCTCAGAGCTCTTGTTTCAGACAGACTCAGAGTTCTCATAGCATCACTTAGACATTTTTCACACTTGGAAGGGCCATCAGTCTGCACTAGGTTTTCCAGGGTTACTAACACTGGTGAAAATGAACTGGTCTTAGTGGGGGGGGGGGGGTGACTTTTGCCGAGTGCCCCTAGTGTAAGCAAGGCCTAACATGAAGCAGAGAAAGAATGCTTCAGAACAGAAACATAAAAGCGAACAACGTAGTTCCTACGGGCAACTGCATGTAGCTGTCAAACCTGCCAGAAAGTGCCCTGCTGTAAGGAATCTAGTAGCAACAACTAATTTGTTGGACTATCATCAGGCATGCTCTCAAGCTACATACTTTTTTTAAAAATTTGAAAGGTTAGAAGGGAATATGTCTTCTATATTTTGTATCTTCACAGTTTACCTCAAGTATTATGTCTCCTGTTACTAGTCCATCAGGTCCTTTTGCTGGGCTGTCCTCTTCTATATCAGACACAAATATTCCATGCAGGTTTCCACCACATATCTGGATTCCAAGCTCCACTTGGGATTTTTTAATGACAACATTTCTTGGTTCAGGGGTCCTCTTGTTTGTGTCCACAGGGACCCTTTTGATAGCAATTTGAAAAAAGTGTATTAGCTGCTCTCATTTACAATTCAAGTGCAACAAGAAGAAAAGCAGTCTATTTCCCTCCTTATTACATCTCTAGAGCATAAGCATCCCATTTTTAACTTCAACTTCATGCTTCCTATATGGTTCTTAATTAAACTAATCTTGTTGCTACATTTGTATTTGAAGTGCTTCTCAAATAGGTCTGCAAGAAACAAGAAAATTGTTTTATTTCAAGCCATGTGCTCCTGTCTATTGAAACATGTCAGTGCACTTCAAGAAGCACGTTTCATTTCATGTCTTGTCCTCCCCCAATTTTGGAAAACAGAAAATGACATGGTCACACTACTTACCTCATGGAATTCCGGGGACTAGTTGTCGGTGTGGTTTGTTTGGATGGAGGTGTCATTGTTCCTTCATCCTGTTCACTCACAGTATCAATTATGGAATGATTGTCGGGGGTTGCAGCTCCACTGCCTTGAGGAGTGGAATGATTGCTCACTGGTTCTAAACGAGAACTAAACAGAGAGCGAGAGAGGGTGTAAAATACACTGATAAATGTTAACAGTCCAACAAATACCAAACTAACTTCAGATATCAAGGAACATTCATAATTCAGATACTGGTTTTCCCTGGAATCTCAATCTGGGCTAAAATCAAGTTGAAATCAGATGAGAAATCTCAAAATAGTGCAACAGTATAAGCCTTCTAAATTTCTTTCTAGGCAACTTTGCACTACCGTTATAGCTAATGTCTTTGGGTTCTGTTCTGCAAGACTTCTCTGTGCAGATCTCCCAGTTAGGTCCTTGGTTTCTGTAGGGAACTATACGCCTCACTAGTATATTTTTGCTTTTTATTGCTATTTCTGAATAAATGCCGTATATACTTGTTCATTAGCCCGTTTGTTTATAAGCCGGCCCCCCAAGATAGATAGATAAAAACTGTATGACCCTTTCATAAGCTGACCCTATATTTCAGGGGTTGGCAAACTTTGGCTCCCGGCTTGTCAGGGTAAGCTGCTGGCGGGTTGGGATGTTTTATTTACCTGCAGTGTCTGCAGGCATGGAGTTACCTAGCTAGCATTTATACTGAGGTTTGTCTACACTTACCAGGGAATCGATGCGTGGCAATCGATGCATTGGTGGTCGGTCAATTTAGCGGGTCTAGTGAAGCGTGTAGTGTGGACCCCACAGTAAGTAGATCTAAGCTACATCGATTTGAGTTACGCTATTCATGTAACACAAATTGCACGGCTTAGATCGACTTTTCCCTGTAGCGTAGACAAGGCCTGAGCTTATCACAGTATGAGCCTACTACAAGCAGAGGACATCAGTAACAACTAAAGCTGACCAAGGAATGTGGCTGCTTAAATATTGATGGTGTCATTAACTTGTTTTTTTCCCTCTTAAGAGCACTACAGTTCACCTTTGTGAATGTCCAGGTAGTCTCTCCGGAGCATAGATTTTTTTGCTTGAACCAGCCTGTTTCTAAAGATCCAAGTGGATTCTTACAGAAACAGTCCCTTATTTTTTGATATGTAGTCAGGTATATTTTAGATAAAAGTCCCCTCTTGAAAGGCCAGTAGGCTCTTCCCCCCCCACCCCCCAACTCTGAGAAAATTCCTAAAAAAGCCTATATATAATTGCACAGACTTTGCAAAAAAAACAAAACAAAACCAAAAAACCAACTTCAGTACTCTTTTGACAAAGTGTCAATGCTACTAGCGCTCCTAAAGCAAACCAATGTGTGATTACTGTGGTAGAAAAGAACACATTTTTTGTTTTTAGTTTCATGTTTCTGAAAAGTAACTTTTTCCTTGTTTAGTCTTAAACAAAATAAAACAAATGCCTTGGTTTTAAAATGGATGCTATTCACCTTGTTTTGTTTTTTCTAAGCACTCATATTTTTTAATCAAAACATCTTTAATAGTGTCAGTTTAGAATGTTTTTAATATCTTGATAAATGACACAGACCAGACAATAGCATTTTCAAGGTCTAGCTACTTTTACCTCGATCGTGAGTGATTGCCAAGTTGATACATATGTGGGTTGTACTGAGCCAGAATAGTTATGGTGTCACATTGCTGTCCAATGATCAGTCGAGCCTGCTGCTCTGTAGCATTTCTCAGATTTATTCCATTAAACTAGAATGAATAAATAAAACATCAGACATCCAATTTTCAAAGGAAAACCAGCAAAATCATTATAAGACTTGCAGCATCCTGATTTGTGGATGCTGTTTTTTGAAACACGAGTCTCTCAATCTGTGGGATTGCTGCGAGACGGTTGTCTGAAGAAGGGGAAGAAAGAACAGCTAAAGAATTATTGATTTTTCTTTTATTATTTAATTATTCCTTTGGAGGAATCAATACAACTTTAAAATTTGACAACTTGATGACAATCCTGAAATGCTTTTCTTTTTGGATGACAGATAGCATTCTACTGAAGTACTGCAAAGATTGCGAAATAGCACCTAAAGTTGTTTTTTGTTTGAATATTTGCTAGTTCACATTACACCATGATAAATAGGGTTGCCAACCCACCAGGATTGGCCTGGAGTCTCCAGGAATTAAAGATTAATATTTAATTAAAGATTATGTCATGTGATGAAATCTCCAGGAATATATCCAACCAAAATTGGCAACCCTAATGAGAAATGATTTTAAGTACAGATGGGTTCAAGACACAAACTTTGGATCAAGCTACAAATTTCAAACACCAGGTTTATGGTTGTTTGGCTCCATGGTTTTGCTTCAGGTACATCTATCTTCCACTAACACTGCAGCAGAAGACTTGTCCCTTCTACACAGCCACCTTCAAAGCAGCATTATCCTTTATACAAAACACACTTAGTAAAGTAAAAACTGATGAATAATGTGTGATGAAACTTCATATAGAATTAAAAAATTATAATTATGATCTGGAATATCCCTGTTATTGTATCATTTATATTTTGAGAGACAGATTCTTATTCACAAGATATTTCGTATTATTTTTATATTCACACAACTGCATTAGTTTACTAAGTAGTAGAAATGTTAAGCAAACAAAATTACCTCCAGTAACTGATCACCATATTCAAGGCCAGCTTGATGGGCAATGCTCCCACCAGTTACTTTAGACACAAATATCCCACCATTTTCTCCGCTCACAATGGAAATCCCTAGTGGCTCAGAACCCTTTTGCACTTTAACATGGCGTGGTTCTTCCATGTACGGCCTTTAAGAGGAAATTATCAAAAATTGATTTGGACAAAATGGCACTTGAAGCATAATATTGAAAAGCGACATGCACTATGTATCTGAAGTGGAATATTAAGACTGGTTTAAAAAGCTACTAAAAATACTGTAAACGGCCTATGCATTCCTTAAACACCATGCAACGTATAGTGGTGGAACTAAATGTATATCAGACACACAATTCTAGATACATGACTGCACAAAAAAAGTTATGGAAAACGTGAATTATAAATACTAAGATGGTGAAATAGGTAGGAAATAAACCTGCACATTCATATTATATAAAAGTAAACCACTATATATAATATGCAATTTACAAACCATATTCCAGAAAGGTGCCTTACAGTTTATAAATGCTAGAAATCTTAATATCCAGTGAAAATAAACATTGTAAATAATAAGGTGGTGAACCAAGAGAAGCCAATACACAATATCAGTTTTATACTTGTACACAGGGAAATGCAAATTAGTAATGAAAATTAAGCAGTTGCAAACTCAAGCTTGAAGACAGCAGTTTGCATGGTAGCATTACAATTACCATGCAAATTCTCCTTGAGGGAAATTATCCAAACATGTAAAATAGCACAAGGTGCGCAATGCTGCTTGAGAAGGACAACCTTATATCAGGCCAACCTCAAACTCCTTAGTGATGAGAACCTAGGCCTAGGAGCCAGAGGGATTCTCAGAAAAGACCTATTACGGAACAGATATCTGAAAGATGCAGAAGATTTGAGAAGAAAAGAAGACTTAGACACACAATAGTAACAGACATTAATACGTATAATGAGAGAATAGTCTATACACATTATTTTAGAAGGAAAGCCTGGTGAAGTTTTCTCCCCATCATTTCCTCCATTTACAGTACTGTTATCTGATTTATATGTCTGTTTCTTGTTGAATAGCAGTGTTATAAAATGTTAGGTAAGGTAAGGTAAGTCTTTCTGTGAGTTTCCTAGCAGAAGGTGCAATTTCTACTCCTTGCTCCAAAAGGCAGAACAAATCACAACTGCCTGGGACCTATAATTTTTAATGTGGTGCCCAATTCTAACCCCTTCAAAATGGCAGATCAAGACACACTCTCCTGTACCACTGGGGGCTTTCAAGGTACCTGCAAATAGAAACATTAACCTTCTAGAGCAGCGGTTCTCAACCTGCGGCCTGCTTACAGCCCAATCAGCAGTGTGTGGATGCGGCCCCCATAACACAGAGAGCTGCATTTGTGGTCCACAATGGTAAATAGGTTGAGAACCACTGTGCTAGAGGGTGGTTATAAAATGGTGCTGCCGGCTCCCTGGGTAAAATTTCCAAAAGCACCCAAGTGACTGACAGATACCTTTGGAAAGGGGGAGGTGGGAGAACAAGGTGGACCTCTTTCCCCTTTATTACTGTAAAAACAACATTTATGGTTGTATTCTCTCTTTCAACATGTATTACTACAAGCACACTTAATCTACTTTAAACCAAAAACTAAATGTTCTTTTATATGCTGTTATAGTAATTGAGATGTGCTAAGTGCCAGAAACCTGAAAATTGTTCAAAGACAGCATTTAAATGTCCACTTCTTTAGGACACTTAATCCATTCTGTAGACAGATGCAGCTTATCTCATATCACATTCTTAGGAATAGGATGCAATCACATATAATACGGCAATGCAAAATTTAGTAAATTGGATTCTCCCCCTAAAGCTCCAGTCATATCTTTGGCACCTTTATTTACTACCCCTTAACCTGTTCTCTAACCTGTTACTGCATGTCTATTTGAATTTCTCCATTGTGTGGGGGAAGGAGTGTTGCTGAAAACATATGGTTTTGCCCAAATTCCATGTTTTAAAATATATTTGGAGTGCATTTTCTTGGAAATCAAATCTGAACACCTCTATTCCTGCACACTATTTTCAAACAGATAGAACTAGCATTATCTTGGGATTCTACTAAAAGCAGATGGAAATTAATTAGTAATGCACAGCTAGCAGAGCATCTATAATAATAATGGAAAAATTATAATGTTTAAAAGGTATCTAACTTGATTAGTAATGTTATCAATCAAATGTAACACTTATTTCTGCTGTAACGTTCACTTTATGAGGTTAAAAGAATGTTTTAAACTGATCCCTTCTTTTTGGTCTGCTTTTAGAAGTTAAATTGTTTTTCGTTAACATCATCGTAAATAATGTTGATATTTTTGATTCGTATTATCTCACCTTGAAAAAGTTACAGCGAGTTAAAATTTTTGGGAGATTGGGGGGATGACTAAGTCTTCTAAAGCACATCAAACTTTTAGAAAAGTCCCATTTATTCAGGACATCAGCTGTCCTCAGTAGGGATGCTTTCATGAACTGGGATCATAATGTGAAAAGTAAAAACTGCACCTTCTTACTCAGCAGATCCTTACCCTATGTGTCTGCTTTTTCCACACAAGCCCAGCAAAGTCAAAATGGCTAAAAGCGAGCAGGATTTTACTCTTGCTTGTACATCAACAGAATTCTTTAAATTCCAAGCACTTGTACCTGTGTAGCCCCATTAACAGGAATATGAGATCACACAGGTGTCACTGAACACATCATTTGTGCTGCCAAACCACTCTCTCCATTAGTTATGTGCAAGAAGGGGAAAAACCCAGCTTGATCTTCAGCCCTACAGGCTTACCATTGAATCTGACCATTAGCAGAAAGCATCTTTTTACTTGAAAACTGAATACAGTTGCGCTAATCAGGGTGAATTAATAAATAAAACTCCACAATGTGCTTTTTACAGTCACTTTCAAAACAGCAATGTACAGTACAATATATACATAGTGGAATAAAAATAGCTGAAATATCTTCAGTTACCCCGTGATGAAACCTGATAAAATTCTGTGCAAGATTTAAGCATTATTTTAGTATTTTATATAGAATGCCCCTGTTATTGGATTATTTACATTTTGAGCGCCAGGTTGCTATTTATACAGTCAGGGGTCTTAAAGTGCATACAAATGTAATTTACTCCCACATCAAGGTTTCTTTATTCTGCCAAAAATGGTGTAAAGAGGCCTCAGTATAAATAAAAATCTGGCCCTTAGAGTCAATGGTTTTTTGTTTGATATTTTGAGTTTATGTAAACTCTGACAAATGCAGAGGTAGCAACTTTTACAATAAAAGTAAAACCGGAAGTCCAAATTTAATTAACACAAGCTGAATGTGCATTATAAGATACAGGGATGTGACATCAAAGAAAACCTATATAATATTAAAAACCCAACATCATACTTAGGCTCCAAACCTGCAAACACTCAGCAGCACTTAATCTTACTACTGTGAATAATCCCATTAAAATCACTGGAACTACTCATGGTAGTAAAGTTAAGTGTGTACAAACATGTTTGCAGGATCAGGGCCAGCGTCCTGAATTTTAACCTTGTTGAAGAGATCTGCTTGGATTGAATCCTGCCAAATCACAGCAAATACAAATGAGAGTTAGGCCTGGTGGCCAGTCACATTAAAAAGTTTAGCATTAACCACAAACTTCTTTTAGGGTCTTCATTTTGTTTCTGGAAGCTGTACTGCTACCCTAAAACTTCTGAAGGAAGAGTATGTTACACAAGCTTTTCACAACACATACATAATAATAATAAAAAAAAGTAACAGTACTTAAAGTACACCTCAACACGTATAATATACTCCTGATTTTTGCACAGCCAATTGTTTACATTTCTTCACTCTATCAAACAAGATAATCTCAGGTATATTTGTATGAAAGATGACAACTATCACCTTACCTATCTTTTCTACGCTCTCCAGTTGATACTGGGCTAACAGAAATCCTAGGTAACGTAGAAAGGGAGTTCTGTGACTGGCTGCTGGCAAAAGATGATGTTTCCAGGTTCAGTGGTGACTGTGGAGGGGTTATCAGGCTAGGACTGCTACATTCAGAATGTGACAGTGAACCTGTAATAATACAAGAAAGGGATTCACTTTTTGTATGTAGTGCTTATTGCAAACATCTTGCAATGGAGGAATCTGAAGAGACATTAAAAGACATACACACCCACAATACAAATGTGATACATAGTTTACATAAACATGAGAAGATATTTACACATGCAATATCCTTTCAAATGTGAGTTGATTTTCCTGCTCTAGAACTTGAGAGCACTGGCTTGAAACTATAACAGTGAGAACCTGTCACAGGCAAGCTCCTTCAACTGAATATATAAATGCACTTGAGTAATGGAAAGTCCTGACATCATAATGAAATAAAGAAAATCGAGGTAAAAATGAAATAAAGATCTGAATGTTAGGGATAGTCTCAAAGGATCTTTATCCACTCTCCTGGGTTCTGGCTACAGAATGCCTTATAAAACATTTCAAAACAACAACAGAGCGTAAGCAGCACAAGTCCATGCACATAACCTACAGGTCAAATAGTGAAAAAAATTATTTGTGAACATCTACAGTTTTAAATAAAATTTGCTTTGACTATTTTTTCTCCCCAGGAATATTTGACTGAACAAGCTGACCAGCAGGAAAGTTCAAATCAATCGTTTGCTGCACCATGGAATGTTGCAGAAAGTAAATTTGAAGTTAGTAATCACAAAAGAAACTTGTTTATAAGACCTATGTTCCTTCAGTCAGGGTACAGTAACATAACACATGACCTATATATGTCCAATTAAAGCATCTTTAATATTTAATTATAGATACAAAATACTCAAAGCAATAATGGCAGTCAAGAACTTTCAAGCAATTTACAGGCTGAGTTCTACTTGTGTAAAATATTCTCTGAAGAATTAAAATCTGTTCTGCTGTACAGTTCATTAACAGAAAAAAAGGGCTAAATGAAAAGAATAAATTGTTTCCTGAAAATAATTTGAACAGTTCTATATATTTCTAATAATTCAATAAATTTGTAAAATGTTTAAGTCCTCTGATGAAGAATGCTTTATGTAAGCAAAATATTAATATGTAAAATCCTTTAAATTGTAAATTCATGTCTCGTTTAGAAAGACTTCAATTTGCCAAAGAATACAGTGTTTTAGAGCGAACAAAATTATGCATACACCTTTTATGGAGTCATTTCACCACTATTATAAAATTAGGAAATGACTTCATATGGGACTAGAACTCTTACAGAGTGCTGTGTTGACACACACTATTTTATCAGGAGACTTGTGATAATTGATGTTTTCCAAGAAGCTCCAGCTCCTGGAATCAAGTGCTTTCATTTGGAAAAGTTAAAAGGAACTTTCTACTCCTTGTAGTTATGAGAAAATCCTTGAAAAAATAATTTTAAAATCCGATAATTTTTAAAACTCTCTTTTGGGGACCTGTCTCATGAATTTTTAATGCTCAGGGTTGGCAACAAATAAAAAGTTAAGAATAGAAGACTTTACCCCTGTCAGAGCCCAGGATGGATCTCGGATACCTTGGGGTTAAAGGGATCTTAATTCTTTCCGTCCTGTACTGCAAGTTGCTGGAAGAACCTATTTTATAACAAGAAAATGTCACAATTTATGACATATGTAAATGCAAACGGATAAAACACATTTAGGTTCTCATTCTTCAAAGACAAGCTAAATGGTCTCTATGTAGGGGCAAGAGTCCAGTTCTCCTAGCAGAATCAAGGCATTACCAAAAAAAAAAAAAAAAAAACCCTTTATAATACCATTTTCATGGCTGGCAAACTTCCTAGTTCAAACAGCTAGTACAGCTATGGCATTGCTTAAAATGCACCATTACTGGGTACTACAAAATGACTGACCTATCTAATACTTATTTGGGCACCAAAGAACTCTTTAAAATATTTTTTGGCCAATTTACATGACTGAGATATAAGACAGGTCCTGATCATCTGTGGTCATTGAACTTCCACTGGCACATTTTGAAAGAATTCAGGTGTATTCCAATTACCTACACTAGTTTCAATGGATAAGATATTTCACTTCCTGTCCTAAACGGACATGTAGTTTTTTGTTGTACTGCTAAACAGCTGCCATGTTCTGCCAGAGACGTAGTTGTATTTCAGTGATGGATCATGAGATTCTTGTTTATACAGTTTAAAATATTTCAGAATTAAAAGGTCTATGTAATGTTAAAGACTATTGCCATGAAGTATGCATATATTTTATTTTTGCTGGAATAGATACAGACACAAATGTAAATATCAGAACTGTCTAAGGTGGACATAAAACAATTTAATACACTCTGTTATCTTTCCACAATGTAATACTTTGTTAGGTAAGCCCTACACAAGTATTTGATCAGTGGTAATATCTATGCCTTCCTTCTGGAGCTACCTCCTTTCTCTCTTCCCATCTCACCTCCGAATCTCAAAATTATATTTGTGAAATCCTTCTAGCTGCTGACAACAGTCACCACACAATTGCCTTCCATACAGCAACAGCTGAAAGAAGTGTCTTGCACCACTGTGACATACTGAGGAGAGGCAGACAGGTTGTAAAAGGAGTTTCACTGAAATCTTCTCAGTGAGGAGAATGGAAGCTTAAATTGTAAGAGCCAGAAACTTGAAACAAGGAAAAACAATGGACCCTTAAGGTTCTGACAGCTATGACGGACGCTTTGAGTGGGGTGGAATTTTCTCTGCTTTGTCTTAGATGTAAACAGAGTACTTTGCATGAACAAATTTGAAATGCTAATTACCAAGTCTTGCACTGGATGGTAATGAATTTGAACCATGTGATGCTCTCGTCCGTGAGTTTTCAGAATAATCACTGGAGTGTTTGTGACTTAGGTCCAAACTCAGGCGACCTTGGTGCTGAGCACTGCATCAAAAACAAAGTAGGTTATCGTGTCTTCAAAAAACACGCCCTTCAAAACGAACATTACCCCAGCCAACCAGAGGAACAGGAAGAAACCCAACCCCGCCGAGCAGTGAAAGACTCCCTGAAAAGCATACCTACAGCTGTACATTGTAGCTCAGTGCCATTGCTACTTTGCTTTAATTCTCTCATACTTATTTGGACAGCAATTTAATCCATTAACTTCACTGCAATACATCCTTAAAATCGCTGAGTCATAGACAGCTGTATTCTACAAAGTATTCCATAAGAAGCATATTGAAGCACAATAAAGATACTTTATTATTCAGTCCCAGAGAAAACATTTTGTTTTGAGAAGACATTTGTACAAGCCAGTCCCAGACAATACATACGTAGGACTTCCTGACATAACACTGAATAAATGTTTGCCAATGTGAGTATCAGCTACCTAGCATATTACTGTACACCACATAGACTGCAATCTCCAAAAATTGTTCTTGAGACTGAGTTATGTATATTATGAGAAACATATCTCCTCTTCATGAAATATGCTAATAGATTATTACTGAGTTGAAAGTCAGAGTTCAGTGCTCATATATCAGATTCTTATACAGACAGTGCACTGACTCTCAGTTCAACAGAAGTAATTTCTGTGGGCTTTAATTCAGCTCCCTATGCTTTCTACAGAATATGTACTTCATGATAAATTCACTCTTTTTCTAGTAAGCTTAAGGGTACAATTTTAAATATTTGCAAAATATATACTAATATAACCTAACCATGAATAAGGTGTTGGTTTAATAATTAAAGTAGAGAAACAGGAATTGGGTTTGATCTCTGACTTTGCCAACGAGAGCAGAGTTGGGCCCAAAAAATCCACAATAACGGTTAATAACTTTGCTCAATTATAATTTGTTGTCTTCAAACATAGGTAGGGTTCAAATTTTCAAAGCCATTTAACTATGGAAATTCCAAATGGATCAAAGAGTTGAGCCAGTGGGAGACAACAAAACATCAGTAAACGTTTCTGATCAGGGTAAGTTTTTAATTACCTTTAACTTGAAGAGCCAGCTGAATTTTCTACAGTCTTTGCAGTCACTTCCTCCTTTACTTTCAGAGTAAATCATTTTCAGGCAAAAATGTCCAAGCCAAAGTTGCAGGGCTCTCTCAGGGAAGCCCATAGTAACATTACATAGGAAGAAGTCACTGCCTTTACATAATGTTTGTAAAGTGCTTTGAGATTTTCAGATAAAAGGTGCAACAGAACTATTATTTTACATTATGCTGCACTAGTATAGTGTTCTCCTCTGTGGGGACCAAAGTGCACAGCAGGAAGCAGCTTTCTCTGATTGATTTTATTTATAAATAAATTAAAGATCTAAGGTTGTGAAGTTCTGAATATATACCTGGGATGCAGGTGCTGATGGCAGATTTGGCTGGCAACAGATGGGCAATTGTTGGTGTGAACTCTGTGGCTCCAAGCAGTATAAACTGGATTTCTCAGGACAGCAGTTACTGCAGGACATGGTGCTAAACTTCTTGGTACAGTACCTATTTTAAAGTGGACAAAATATATGGTATGAGTTTTTCCTAGTTAAATTCACAAAAATATTCTAGGCATACTCAAGATGCTGGGATAAAGTCATTTGCCTGTAACATTTATGCAAATCCCTAGTAAAGTGGGAAGCTGAATACCTAGCTCCAAGGCTCAAACCATTATTCAGACTGTTTTATTGAACAAAATCTACTTGCCCACCAAAAAGATGTCCTCTCCCTTCTCAAAGTCATGATAGTGTCAAACATGTAACTGAAATAATTCCATACTTTTAGCTGAATAATAATTAGCTAGAGGTCCAATTTTAGCGTGGCACACAAAAAATTGATCGCAGCTACAATTGTTCTTTTTCCTCTTCGGTGGGCTTGTGCACTTCCAACTTCTATAGTGTCCTATGACCTTAGAAGATAACAATTCACAACTCTGTGAAACTGATATTTATATGTGAATCTCAATATTTAGGATTTTTATTGAGAGTAAACTCATACTTTACTATCAGACAGAATGTTGTTCAACAGAAGTTTTGGTATCGTATTTCACAGTTGCAGAAACATTTTGCAAGACAAAGAATGAATATTTACCGTCAGATATACTTTGATGAGCTTTGTTCTAAAATTAAGGGCATTATTATATAAAAATAAGGAAAGGGCTTTTTTAGTGAAAATACTTTCCAATAAAGTCACAGTTATTAATTAATAATAGTTTTATCATTACATTTTATAATACTTTGGATGAGAGATGCTATAGGGATAAAGAACTCTGTTTTACTAATATTGATTAAATAATATCCTCATTTACAGGTGGGTAACTTGAGGCACAGAGGTTGAATGAGTTTTCTGCTGTCAGCCAGTAATTCAGTGACCATCAGGATGATAACCAAAGAGGCACTAACAAGAACTGTGAACAATATTCAAATTAAACTTCACACCTATTTGAGCTGGACCTTGGCTTTGAGAATTGCTGAATGGACATACCTCAGACCCTGGCTCACTAAACTCAGGCAAATACATATTGATACATTTTTTTCTCCGAGATCCTCTATGCCAGTTCAAATGCAAACCATACTAAACCAGTATTTTGAAAGACACTGGGGAGATATTTCTAACTACCAATGGCCAGCGAGATGCTCCTGCTGGTCACCACATCAGCCAGTACCTCTACATCAATTCTACAGTGTGGTTTTTGTTATTGTTGTTTGTTAAAAAGGTAGGCAATGAAACTCAAATAGCTGCTTTCTAACATTTCCTGCAAGAAAACGCTCATTTTTGCCATTGATTTCACACAGTCGTCTCACACTGCTTTTTTCGTAATTAAAGTAAACCTCTCGGATGAGCAGTTTCCATCTGATTGGAGAAGGCAGACAGTATTTATATTAAAATTGCACCCAGAGGCCCCCATGGGCTAGGCAAATAAGAGCCTTGAAGACCTTACAGTATAATTTGTCAGAACAAAGGGTGGGAGGTGAAAGGGGCACAGAAAGTGACTTGCTCAAAGCTATACAGCAAGTTAGTGGCAGTGACAGGATTAGAATCCAGTTCTATTAAATGCCCACTCCAGCGCCGTATCCATGAGACTACGCTGCCTCTCCACTTAGCATGAAGACCTTTTCCGAGATCCTTGTGAAGCATGAATAACCTTTCTGAGTCTCTAAATTCATGAGTTCTCTTAAAATAAACCCCCAGGTCTCTGGTTAGGTCTGAACAGTGGAACTTGAATCTTTTGTGACCTTTGGTGTATAGCACCCACCACAATGAAGTGCAGCTTAACGGAATGGCAAGACAGACAGGAATGCCCAAGGGACTGTCTGTGACTCCATGGTAAGACTGTTATAGTGCTTTAGGAGTTCACATTTGTTACTGGACTGGTGAAATCTAATTAAAGAACATACCACTAATTTAGACACCAAAGTGTCTAACCTGCTTTTTAGGCCCTCCCTGATTGAGTTAACCTCGTTATCCCTAACGCGATTCTTGCTTGCATATTTATATCTGCCTCTGGAAATTTCCACTGCATGCATCCGACGAAGTGGGTATTCACCCACGAAAGTTTATGCTCCAATATGTCTGTTAGTCTATAAGGTGCCACAGGACTCTTTGCCGCTTTAACCTGCTTTTTGACAGTCTGCCCTGAGGTTGGCACTCACGGTCATGAACCACTCCAGACAGCGTGACAATCATAATGGTCACTTTTGGCCTTCACATCTACAAACAGAATTCTGCTTTGAGCACAAAACAAGTAAGTCTAGCTTGTTGTCAGACCATTAAAAATGAGGAAAAATTATCGCCATGACATTACCGACATTACCATCCAGGTCATCATCACTAACCTGCCGACATGGCTCCAGTGTACAAGGAGGAAGACACAAAACCATCGCTGTGCCTAGTGGAACGTTTTGGTGAATATGGCGCCCACTCCTGGAGCTCCGGAGAGAGATGCTCTTCACTGGCTGGAGTGTATTTCTGTACCTGTAAGCAAAGTGCAGAATTCAATCTGCAACTAATCCAGAAAGCTTTGTGTAAACTAGTACAAAAATAACTTGCTGGTGATCACTTGATGTTGATTATTATGCTTTGATCCCACCACTTCGCTGATATCACTCCCCTCCTTCATTATTCTTCACTGTTCTTTCATGTTGTCTTCATCTTCAAGCTCCTCTCTGCCTACATCTCAGCTCTCATTCTCTCCCATAGGACTCTCCCAATCCATTACCTATGGCCCTCCAGTCCCTCTTGTGGACTCTCTGTCCTCCTTATGCCTTCTTCCCCCTTTACGGCCCTGATTCAGCAAGGTATTTCAGCATGTGTGTAACTCCGAGCATGTCAACAGGCCCAGTGACTTCCAGGGGCTTGCTCAGACGCTTAAAAGTTATGCACCTGGCAAATTATCTTGCTTAATCGAGGCCTACATTGGAACTCACTCCCTCTTCATGCGTGCAAAACATCCGCCCCCCTATTCAAATTCTTTCTTAAAATCCATTGGTCCCACACGGTTTCAACAATAAACCCCTCCAAAAACAGATGTTTAAAAACAAATTCTACACTTGTTTCTTTTCCCCGGCCATTAGAGCACATGGCTGCCTAAAGCAAGACTGGCTGCTGGGCCTGAAGGTGTAGCACTCAGTCTCAGCTTTCCGGTGCAACTTCTTTCCTGGCTGCTTTAACAGGTCAGCTGAAAGAGCCGGTCTGGGCTGTGGATACACATTTCTACATTGTCTGCTTTAACAAAGAGTGAACAGGCATGGGTGAGTGAGGAAATCGGATGTTCACTGAGATTTCATTAGCCAAGAATGCCAGTAACTTTAGACAGCTGCAAGCACAGTTTTTAAAAACATGCATAGCCCTCACAATACTATTTTCAAGATAAAAAACAGTACAGCATAAAAGCCATGATATTAAAAACATAAGATACAGAACGTGAATCACTAAAGGCTACTCATATTTCTTCATGTGACAGGAAAGTTGTGTTACATAGTGAGAGAGATGTAACAACACACACAGGCACACATTCCTACTGCCATGCCCTCCTTGCTGCATCAGCAGCAGACATGATTGTTACCCAACCATGAGAAAAGCTATTTGTTCATCTCTCTCTCTTTTTTTTTTCTTCTTCTCAGTCTTATTAAATTCTCTGTTACACTCAATCACCTTGATACCTGGGCACATTCCACAATAAAAAGCATGACAAATAAATATACCCATAAACTGTGCCACATTGCACACCCTGTATATTTTTTACATAAATTTAACATTAATAGATTCACATTTACATGTAGGGCAAGACTCTGTCTTTCAACCAGAGTAAGGGGTAGTTCATAGCCTGCACCAGCCTCAACCTAAGAGTAGCTCCAGAAGACATTGTTCTTGGTGGCACTCCTTTGCTCACAATGCCTCCCTTGCTCCTTGGCGTTTACCAGCTGATGGGTTCCAAGGCTCTGCCCACTTGTGGGGAGGTAGCAGGCACACAGCATCTGCACAGCTACCTAGTTCAATTTCCAATCTAGCCATCAGAACAGAAAAACATCCTCTACAATACCGCTATTATTAGCATTACTATGAAAACCAGAACATTTTCATTTCTTATGTTAAGTGTATAAATTTGTAACATTAATGTAATTTTTTGTATTTTAAATATCTTCATTTTCCACCACTAACCCTCCTCAAACAGCCCAATTTTAGCTTAAGTACAGCCCCTGCAATTATTTTAGCTATGATAGTGCATAAAAGGCACTGTTGTGAATGCCATTCTTTTTAAAAGACACTACATAAACCCTATTTTAAACCCTGCTCTGAACCTCACAGCTCAATTTACAAAACATTCCAGAGAGAAATGTGTGCACTCTTGCATCTCCAAGCCTGAAACTCTCTGACATGGGCATTACTCATTCAACATGTTCTTTAAGGTTGCAAATGAGTAAGTTGCAAAATTATGCTGTGTTTTCATTATCTGAAAAATATTTGTTGGGGGTGCAGAAACTATAGATCTATATCTATATTGTAACTCCAAGACCCATTGGAAAGTATTAATGACCAACCCTGACATATCCTGATAAGGTTCACCTGTTCCTATCTTAATTGGTAACAAAGATATTGGCTTTCTATCCAGAAAATGCCCATGTCACAAATGAGAGCCCTTCAAATTTCTTGTATTAGCATAAAGATGACAGGCAACATTTGTCTAGACGTTAAGGACAGTATAAATGTGCTGCGCTTACGGTGACTGATGACTACCGTTCAAAGAATAAGCATACGAGTAACAGTGCACATGGATCAACTTGACATTCTATTTAAAGCAAATTCTTTGCACTCAAATGTGGAATGGTTTGCTTATATTTTGTTGGGTATGTGCCAAAAGGCAGCAGGAGCCTATATATTAGTCTCTTACACTGCAATTCTGTTTTGAAAATGGCACATTCTTACAGGCCACATCTGCTTCCTGTGCTTATTCAGTAATGATCTGCTGACTTCAGTTACAACAGTAAGCTGTTATTACTTTTTTAATGCTGTCAGCACTGCAGAGTTAGCTGGATTCTATTCTGGTTCAGATAGAATGCTTAATTAAAGGCCCAATACCGAACTCCCACTGAAGTCAAAGTAGGAGCAGAAGGAAGCAAAACTGGCAGAAATAGCTAAATTTTCATTGAGAAAAATTTTAATGAAAGTTTTCCCACCAGCTCTCATACCGAGCACCTTGCAGAATCAGGCCCCAAATCCTGTTCTCACTTATACCTTCTACTCCATTGCCTGCTCTCAGTTACATCTTTGCAAACCCACTGAAGATAGTGGGACTGTTCATATGTAACGGAGGGAAAATGTGACCCACTGATATGTAGGCCTTGGGAACACTAACTCTGCAGCCATTTTTACTTTATCTCCCAGTTAACATTCTATCGACCTTAATCAACCACCTGCAATCCTTCTTTTGTCTACTTTGGTAACAAATTTCCCAGTATCTCCATGGAGGGATTTTTCATTCATGCCTTCTGCCACAGCAAAACCAAGTGTTTTCAGGTCCATATCCTCCTAATAAATACTGTCAACATTTACAGAGTACAACTACACTTTAACCACTATCAACTTCAGACCATGTTTACAAAGGTATTTACAAAGGCACCTAAAGATGTAGATAGGCACCCAGTGAGATTTACAAAACACCAACGTAATTCAAGAGCCCAACTCACATTGACTTTCAATTGCTTTTGTGAATCCCACTAGTCGCTTATCTGCATCTTTGGTCACCTAAATACCTTTATAAACTTGACCTTCATCATAATTCAATTTTTCAGTCAACATACACTAGAAAACCTAGAATTATTACTGAACATCTGGCACTAAAGAGCGTAAACACCACGCAACGTTCATCAAACGAGACACCGTTATCCCTCTTTGTAACCATCAGTGCCTTTTTGATACTGTAACTCTGAGAATTACTTTTGTAATTCAAGACACAAAAGAATTTTAATGAAGGTGTCAGGGGCCGATATTTTCATTACTATCAATTTTGGGCACCCAATCTGAGACACCCTGAAGGGCCCTGATTTTCAGAATGTGCTGAGTATCCATCCTCTGAAAATCATGCCCCTCTGAAGTTAGTCAAGTTGGGCACCCAAACTTGAGTCACTTCTGAAAATAACGGCCAGCATCCCTGCTTTGGTGCTTCCGTATGTTTAATTTCTACCTGAAGTGAAGGATTAGGAATGGGCACAGGGGTCAGTTTATGTCTCAAAGCAGGTGCTGATTTTGGTCTTGGTCTTTTTATCTCTGGCTCTTCAACTCTTTGAAAGCCAATGTCATCTTCACAAGATTTTCTTGAAGATAGATGAGTGCAGTCGATCCCCTCCTCCCTGTAATAATGCCCAGCGTTCCTGCTGCGCCCCTTGTGAGTATCTGAGTCCTGCTTAAGTGCTAAGGACACTGGGGGCTGGGCAGTAGCTGGGCTGGTAGGCGGGGATCCAGTCATTACAGTAGAGTCTGATGCAGAACTCGTCTGCTGTTTATGTTTAAATTTAATAGAGTCACTTCTCTTGGGAGGGGTTGGAGGAGTTGAAGCCACTTCAGCTTTTGAGGGCTGAGGTGAATGCGCTGACAACTGATTAGGGGAGAGATAGTCCATTTTGGGAGGAGTCTGTGGTCTTTTGAAAGTGTCAGGGTCGAAGATGGACTTCCTTTGTTTTGGCTTTTTGTACACAGAGAACTTCTCAGTTTCTGCTGTTGAAATATTGACCATCACTTTAGGCCACGTACCACCACTATGCTTAGCTCCATGACCTTTGTCTAGCGTGGTCTCAACCATGATGCAGTCGGCTACCGTGGGCTCAAACGGCAGCCTCCTGCGGTCCAAGTCAAGCAGTCCATAGCCTCGTTCCCCGTATGTGTCTGGACTGAAGGAGCTAAGACTGTGTTCTGAATTACTGTGGTAGCTGTGTACAGCATTCCTGCGAGAGTCTGCCCGTAAAGCACGGCTGGAAAGGGGCTTGTGATCACAGAACGAACCACTCCCCTGGTCGCTCTGGTCCTTCTTGCCATCCAGGATGTCTGGATTGAAAATGTCTGTCTGTGTTGAACTGTTGTGTTTCAAGTTTCTTTTATTCTGAACTTGTATCTCTGATGTATGAACCCTGCAGTTCGATATTTTCTCTGAATCCTTCAGGTTTTCAAATATGTTCTGACCACTCCATGATGAGCTCTGAGGAAAAACCTAGGAGGAGAAAAATATTTAATCAACTCAAGACTGTGGCAGACTTGGGTTTTGCACGTGACAGCCTCACCTCCCTCTCCTCCCCCCCAAGCTCCCAATTTACACAGAGACTGTAACATGAAGATGAACATAAAGGAATAAGCCCATATTCTGGGGAAAACGATGGACAGTGTGTGGGTGGGTGGGGAGACCATGGGGCAGTTTAACAAAATTTCACAGATTGCTGGTACAGAAAATCAGATTGAATGACGATCGATAAAACAAACCTTCTCACTCTTTTAAAAATACTTTCACAGAGGCAGCATGGTGTAGTGGATAAGTCCAGAGATCTGGATTCTGGTTCTGGATCTACCACCATGCTGAATGACACCAGGCAAGTCACCTTTATTGTCTCTGTTTTCCCCTCCCACCTTTTGTCTGTCCTGTCTATTTAGCCTGTCAGCTCTCTGGGGCAGGGACTCTTACAGTGTGTATGTGGCCCCTAACCTCAGTTGGGGTTTCTAGGAACAACCGCAGTATGAAATATAAATGTTTCTCTACTGACAGCCCTTCAGAATGAAGACTTCTGTTTATTCATTATCAGGGGCAGAGTCTGCTTTCCCACCAGTGACCCTCAGTCCTGACCCAGAGGGGACCCTTTCTGGGGGCAAGAGGACAGTTCAGTTTCCATGTGCATGCAAACTTCCTGCAGCTGATGCTAATGCGGGGGCTATATTACCAGTTCGGTTGATAGGTTTATTTTTTTTACGTGAACAGCAATCTGCTGGGAACTGAACTGAGAGCAACCACTGAATTTCACATACTGTAGAATACCTAACAGCCATCCAAAGGTGGTAACTACCCACAGGGACCAACCACTACTACCTAGGGCAAAGCCATTTCATTTAGCTGAGTTTCCACATTACAGTATTCATTTTATGAATGTGCTCTTCTGCCCTTTACAATTACAAAAATATGTATCAACTGAAAAAAAACTCGCAGCTTTTTCTTCACTTCCTCCTTTCCTGTCCCCACACTCACCTTCATCAATGAGAGGGTAAGGGAATCCCTACAGTTTCGTAGCAAAGCTTCACATTCAGTCAGTGATTTATTATCTAGTGCAATGCCATTAATCTGCATAAAAACAAGGGGAAATTAGCAAAACAAACCTAGCAGCATTCAATTGTCTTAGTTTACCTTCTATGAGACAGGCGAATGGTGGTTACACCAACAAAAAAAACAAAAAAACTGAAGCAGAAAGGAAAATGTCAGTATCCTGGTAAATTGGATTATTTTTTGCATATCAGGGGAATGTGTCTTTTTCAGACACGAGAGATTTGCTCTAACCAGAACTATAATTACAGACTTCCTAATTCACTAGAGCTGGCATTTAATGTATGATTTCTCCACTGCATACACCTCGATTTATCTTTATATATTTGCATGAATCTACCCTCCCTGAGATCTGTTCCTCTGAATAAAATAGGTAACTATTTTTAAAGATATTATTCAGCAGATCACAGACCGCCAGCAGTTCCCAGAAGAGATAAGTAGCATCCTGGAGGAGACAAGAATCTAACCAGTTTCTTTAACTTGGTTCTGGAAGAGCAGGTATATCAGAGGGAGAGTCTTCTTAAGTTCAGAGGAAGTCTGAAGGTAAAGACAGGCCTTCATGGGATTTTGCAAATTGCAGGAGCACTTGTAGTTTAATCAACACATCCAGAAATGGAATGGAGACATAGGTCCACTTTTAAAGGAAGAATAGGCATAAGGTCATCCCAGATCATTTCTATTTCTAAACTCTAATGGAGGTCTAAAGAAGATTCCTTGAACTGCAGTCCTTGTATTAAGTCGTCTTACCTATCGTTTACTGTGAAAAGGGAAGGCAGTGAGATTGTCCACAATAGGTCTGAAGGATGAGTTACTGCAACCATACTTTCAAAACTTCACCAATGAAACTACTAAACGTGGACCGTATTTTCTATTACTCACCCAACCTACAAACACCAACATGTTTATTCATTAGATCATTAAATTTAAAACAGAGAAAAACATGGTAAAAATGAGTCAAATAAAAAGGTTTTAAAGAAAAGGAAATTTATTTTTTCATACTATCTGTGGTATTGAAATTACATTTGTTCTTTAGACTTACGGCAATTATTCTATCTCCCACAGCAAGGGACCCATCTTTGGCAGCAGGGCTACCGGGCATAACAGCAGCAGCAAATACTCCATTCTCTAAACTAATTCCACTATCTGAAATCCATAAAGATAAAACAAGTTCATTCCTGCAGTTCAAATAATTTAGCACGTATCTGACTTACCTGCATGAAAAAGAAGCACATGTAATAAAAATGCAGTTGGAAATAAATTAGCTTAACTTCTAATAACGTTTAAAAAAAACACACAAAAACAATGGGAAAAGGGTTACAGATAACCCAAAATTTAATATAGACTTACAAGCACTTTCTAGTGGAGAAAAAGATTGTAGGGATTTGCAAGCTTATTCAGCTGAACTCCTATAAACTTCCTTATAGAGGACAAACTAGAGGTGAGAAATGATACATTAGCAGTATTCATGCAAGAAATCTATCCTTAAGTCACTACTACTTGTTCAGTTAAAAAACAGCTAATGAGAACCCTTATCTAGGAAGTCATAACAATTCAAGCGAGTGGACTAATAGCTTGCCCTGAGCATTCAAATGTAAATAATTACCTTTATGCCCAGCAAGATTGATGTGCAGAGGTGTTATCACTTTCCCGCCTAAGGACTTCCTTCTTCGAACCACCATATTAATAACTCCTCCTCCATTAAGTACAGCTTTTATAACTTGCTTCTTATCCTTATTAGCGAGATCCACATCATTTATTTTCAGCAACCAATCATTCACTCTGGCAGTTAAAACAAAGGCAAGGAAGTCCATGTTATAACAATACTTTGCTGCACATTGCAAATATGCAATAATTAATTAAAAGGACCATAATACCACTAGCACAACCTTGATATGTCACCCTCAATTGTCTAACAGTCTCAAATTCTGAAAAAGGATGATGTTTCCCAGCATCTCTTACTGACATTGAGTAAGACCCAGGTCTTCCTGTTCCACCGCCATTGCTTACTCCACTAGCTCTCAGCGTCTCCTAGTCAAGTTACTGATCCTTGGACACCTCGTATCTAAAAATGTGCTGAGTGGAACTGCTGCGCAGGTACATTAAGCATTATTAGCTCCATGTTAGAGCTGGCCTAACTAAACACAGATATTTCAAGCAATATTCATAAGAGGTAGGTACTCTTGTAAAGTGAGTAACTCATGGTTATTATCTCAATAGTCAGGGCTCTACCACAGATTTTGGCAAGCCACTTAAATTTGCCTTTCCTCTGTTACCGCAAATATTTCATTGTTCTTGAAAACTGTCTCGTGCATGAGCCAATCTCAAAATCTACCTATGTTTCAAGTATTCTGATGTAATTTTGTTGGGCAGACATAGCATTTCATTAGACACTTGCAAAAAATTTCAAATGGGAACCCTTTAATATCAGAGAGTATTCCCTTAAGTTAAATAAAAACGTCACAGTACGTTCCAGCTTTTATTGAGACCTCAACTATAAAAATCTGAAAACATGAGTTACAAGGCAGGTGAAACCAGCCTTATAATAGGACTGGTGCTGCAACTTTAACTATGGAGAGGCTTCTTTCCATAATAAACCCTACACACATCTGCAGAGCCTGGACAATAGCTCTGGTTCTACTGCTTCAAAACACAAGCCTCTACCACTTATGCAAAAGGAAGGTCTCTTCTAGCTTTGTGTTACAGACAACACAATTTTCCGTGAGCTTAACCAACCAAGAGAGAGCCAGATGCTTGCATAATCCATGATTCTACTTCCACTTAAGTAAGAGGCAAAAAACTTGAATTGACACTTTGGCATCAGGACTGGGTCACAAACTATCCATAATCTTTCCCCCCCTCCCCAACTGTAGCTTACCCACAAATTCTCAAGAAGATCTAAGTATATGGAAAGTTTGAAGCGACAGAAACAGGTTAAGTGTTGGAGGCAGACAAAGCAGCAACAGACAAATGTCAACATTGCAAATTGGGATTTTTTTTTAAAATGACCTGTAAATCAAGAATAGCTAGATTTCCATAATGCTTTGCAGACACCTTATGGCAATTTTCAGATCAAACCAATTTTCCAAGCCGAAGTTATTAGGGAGCTAAAACAGAACCCATTTAAAGTATGAAGAGGTGACCAACCATCCATAATATTTTGATTTTTTTTCCCTTTTATAACCAAAGCAAATTAAAATAAAAGTGTTTCCACATGGCATGCAAATGATTTACCAGTTAACACTGTACCTTAATCGACCATCTGCAATACTTCCTTTGTCTACTTTGGTGACAAAAATCCCACAGTCTCCAGGGAGGTATGGTTCATTCACACCTTCTGCCACATCAAAACCAAGTGCTTTCAAGTCCATGTCCTCCTAATAAACATTGTTAATGATACAAGTGATTCAACTGGAATTCAAACTAATTTGCATTTGTACGTACATAGAAATTGTAAACCGAGTGCTTTTACTATGCCCTTATTTTATATCTTTGATGCTTTAACAATATCTCAGATGTATAAATTAATATACACAGATTTCAGTTCCTCCCCCAGGTATTAAATGTATTAATACAACCTTGTTCATGGTCTTATTATTACCATTAGTGTTAGGAATTAAACTCCTTGTTTTAAAAAATATTACATATATTTTTTGTTTATTTATTTAGATATTTACAAGCAAACACACCCCCACACCCCCCATTTTTATATAAAGGTTATTTTTATATAACAGTTGTGTGGTTTACAACATAAGATGGCAAAGTTATCTATGGTTTGTACTCCACAAGAGGGATAGATTTCCTGGAACAATGGTCTATTTTGATAATGGTCTATCGTGCCTTAATGTGTTAGCTTTTCATATCTGACTGGTATGATATTTGTTGTAGATACTGCATTTTATGGTATGTAACCACGATTAAAATTAATAAGGTTTAAAAATACATATTCAACAAACAGCATTATTTTTATAACCCATTGTACAAGGGATGTAATGATGAAACATGAAGCAATTCATTCATATAAAACACTAAAGTCTTCAATCTATCTTGGGCTTACTCTGTCTTTTTCAAACTCCACCACTTCTGTTTCCCATTCCAGAGAATCAGTGTCTATGGCTGAATCATGAGAACTGTGGGCTATCAACTGCCGAAACCTGGCTTCCTTTTCCAACTGGTTCTCCATCTTCTCTCTATGGAATGGAAGACGTGTTTATAGGTGATTCAGCAGCTCTCTTGTAAAGAAATGAATGAATGAGATTATGTACTTCACAGTTCCTTCTCTAATTTATCAATGCAATCTCTACTCAGTAAGTAGAAACCTGAACTCAGTTTTAAAAACTTCATTTCCTTCATATTGTAATAATCTTCTCTTACATTAACTGAAGGAAACTTACAAACAAGTTCCATACATGAACATATAGAAAATGCCTCTCAAGAAATATAGCAGTAGATTTCTCCCCCCAGATAAGCTGCTCCTAATACCAGGGGAGAAGTGGATGTGATTTCGTACTGAAAATAAGATCTCCTACACCACTCTGAAAAATGTGATGCATGTTTTCTCCTCTCATTTATAATTCAGTGCAAATCTGGATGTAATGAACAAAGCTTCTGTGAAATCCTGACTGCAGTGAAAGAGTCGCTTCAGTGCATTTCAACAGACACATTTAGTATATAGACATGCTCAGAACATATTACACTTCTGACTGAACAGTCTAATCAGAATGGAGATTTTCTATTTTCTTATTTCCTGGAGGGTAACATGACGAACCAACCAGCTCCTTTTGCCCTTTGTCAATCTATAAATTCATCTACACATGAATCCTGTTGTGTACAATAGGTGTTTAAGATCCATTTTAATCTTAACGGAAATGATGGGTATATTGCAGGCAAAGGGTTATGATAAGGCGGGGCACATAGTAATAATTTTGAAATCTATCTCACCAGTAGATGTTCACTTGAAATTTTCTCTTTTTCTAACTGAATAGCTTTTTAAAAAGCATTAGAACTAATATAGTTTCTTAAACCTCAAACTGCAATAGAGCTTTTGATTACGGTTTAAGCTAAGTTACCGAAGTTAGCTGAACCAGAACGAGCCCTGTTTTGTGTTGGAGCAGTGCATCTACACTAAGGGGTTTGTGTACTAGTGTTATCTTAGTAACACGGATGCAGACTTCGCTTAAGTAGACAGGCCTGAAGAGTCTGTTAATTAAAGGTTTCTAGTATAAAAAGCATTCTATGCAATGAAATCATTTTATAACATACTTTAGTTCCTTCAGTTCACGCACAGCATCATTTTTTTGCTTTCTCATGTCATCGAGATTGCGAAGAGCCTCTGCCAAGTCACTCACAGCTCTGTCTCGCTCTCTCCTCAAGTTGTCACACAAAGTCCTTTGAAAATAACAGATGTTCACGTAAAACTTTAAAGCTGCAATTTACATTTACTAACTTAAAGAACCCTGAATCCTTATTCCCAGTCTTGTCCTTTAACCACTACAAAATCCTTCCGTTAGAAATTCCACTTTTGTACTTCGTGTTTATCTAGAACAAAAGAGGTATTAGGTGTTTTAAAGACAGTAAGATGATACTAGATCCTCTGAAATCAGGCTTCAGGTCCCTTGCTTTTTTAGACCATGGGTACTACAGAGTTGGCTACTATGTGTTGAGAAAAAGGTATCTTGTTACCACTCCAACTGCTGTGCTGATAGGCTCTGGAGGGATGTTTACCAGAGAGAAGTTAGTATGGTGATGAAGGGGTAGGTTGTTAAGAGGGATGTCTTGGAAGACCCTACCAAGTTAAAACGGGGTATCCCTCCTATTACTTAAGTACACTGTGATAAAATCATGCATTGCCTCAAATAAGTTAAGATGTGCTATTAAAAACAGTCAAACTCTGAAAGAGTCAGCTGCACAACAAGAACACCATTGCCATTTAGCCACTGAGATTATGAAGAGCACTAGCATGTCATCTAACATATTTACCGTATGCTCTCTCTTTCCGCAACTATCTTGTCCCGTTCTTGAAAGGCCCAATCTCTCCGACATTTGGCTACTTCTGCTTCCTGGACGGATTCCTTTAGCTCCTGTGACATGGCCTCATATTGCTTCCGAAGCATTTCAATTTCTTTGTTAGCTCTTTCTATGTCCAATGTAGCAGAATCTTGTATCTATGAGTTCAAATATATAGAAATATTTATTTTATGTACAATTCATAGAATAAGCATGCACACTAGGTTTTGTAACCCTAACTGCAGGTTTGTTATATGAAGGGCTCGGTCCTGAAATCCTTCCACAAACTAAACTAGCATTCAGTGGGAATCCCAAAATCTGTGGGAACTTTGCCTGTGTAAAGGGTTCAGGGTTGGCTCCAAGTATTTTAGTCAATAGGAACAGAGACCAGTCAAAAACTCATAGGACTGTGATCTATGGTAGAAGATTCTTCATCTTAGAGCAAAATCAATATACACTTCATATTTCAGTGACACCTTACTGATTCATTGACCTGTTTTAGCACACAGACGGAAGATATCTAAGGACAGCTAGAAACAAGATAAACACAGTGAACAATCATGGCACAGACTGGCTGTTTTAGTGTCTACGACTGATCCTGTGACAGGCAGTAAAAACATCAGTCATACTGATTTACAGTACACCTACCCTTATGATTCACAATCCCCAATCTCCAAAGGAGAATAATGGATCGCCAAGCAGTTTTTGTTTTAATTCAACGTTTCAGAAAAGATTTTATTTCTCCTTTAAAAAAAAAAAAAACCTCTCTACTATTGCAGATTTCAAACACCGAAGGAAATAATGACAATGACAATGCTGACTTAGAGAGAACACTTCCATGTGTGCACAAAAGAGAAACAAGCTTATTTTAACACAACCACATTCAAGCCCTAATCTTGCAGATAGTTACAAGTGAGCTTAACTTGACATATGTGAGTAGTCCTGATGAACTCAAAGGGACCACTCTCTTGAGTAAAGTTAAGCAACTGTGTGTTTGCAGGAACAGGGTCTAAATACATGTAGAGGGGTCCTACCAATGCTAGGAGAGTCAATATACCCAGGACACCATACTTTTAGGGTTGTATGCCTCCCCAAATGGTTTTAATTGTAGCCATTCATGCTTAAAACCCCCAGCCACATTCCAACCCACCACTCCAAAAAGTGTAATACTAATTCATGACAACTAACAGAAGCCACAAAAATTCACATCTTTCCTTTCATTGTGCTGTCCCACACATTGTCATTGTGCTGTCCTTTCCCGCTCTTCTACCCCACCCTCCACCTCATCCCTCAAAACCCTCAAATCAACCCACAACAAGTGAGATTTGACCCTATGTACCATGTATCCATCAGTGATTATATCACAGAGATCTCCACTCTGCTTGTTCAGGATCCTCCACTCCCCTTCATAAAACAAAGGCAGACCCTAAGAAGTCACATTTCACTACTCTTGAGGATCTTGTGTTGGAGCCCTACAGTTCCTTCTCTGTGCCCTGGTATACACTTGGAGGGTGGGGGGGGGAAATCAATCTACATTGACTTCAGCTATGTGAATACCGTAGCTAAAGTCAACGTACTTAGATCGACTTACCGTGGTGTCTTCACTGCGGTGAGTCAACTGCTGCTGCTCCCCCATCGACTCTGCCTGCGCCTCTCACAGCGCTGGAGTACAGGAGTTGACGGGAGAGCACTCAGGGGTCGATTTATTGCGTCTAGACTAGATGCGATAAACCAGTTCATGCTGGATCGATCACTGCCCGCCGATCTGGCGGGTAGTGAAGACATACCCTAAATCTCCCCTGCTGTACAGATTCTTAAAATCCGTTGTCACAGCCATCTCTCATTCAGCAGAGGATTTTGTAGGGCTCCTCCTTTGGAGTCCATCAAATGCATCTCTTTACCTATCTGGGACGTGGAGGCACAGTGCTGAGTGACAGGTACTGCAGGTCCTGCCTACATGAGGTACTCCCAAACTCATGCTGATTCTTTGAAGAAGGCTGCAAGTCAAGCCAAGGTCTCCCCATATCAATGGCTTTTGATGTGGAGAGATGGAGGAAAGCTTTCTGCACAACCAGACAGAGTTGGAGGTATGATAGCCAAATGAAAATAAAATGGTTCTGCACAGTCCAGTTGAATTCCGAGTTTTATTGCTCACTCGGATGCTACTTCAAGATTGACAAATATACATGGCATAGAAAGCTGAAGATGGGGCAGTTTTTGTGGTGAAAAAAAAAGTCTATTATGATCAAGGATTGATACTATAATGAAATTAGATAAATGAAAATATGCCTCTCTCACACACAGAAAAACCCTTCTGAAGGATCTTCTCTAATATAAATATTACTGTAAATCCTATAGCTCTTTCTCAAGAATGAGAAGCAGGGATAATGTAGGATTTTACATATTACTTCATTACAGTATAATTATGTATGTAATATATTACATACAATAGATCTACAAACATGCAACACTGCAAGAATATTTTAGCTCTTCTGTATAATCATTACTAACAGCCACAGCTTGATGTGCTCCATCTATCCCCTTTAATGATATGTATATCTTAGTGTGATTGAATGTAAAGAATTTATGCAGAACAGAATCTTTTTCGTCACACTTCATATTGTTTCATTTGTAAATTGCTTTATAAAGGTTTAAATTGTTGGCACACATAATAAGCATGTTACAGACATAAGTAGCTATGTAACAGATATATACGAGCACGCCAGCAGAAGGTATTACAGATTGTTTTAAGTGACTGAGATGATCCATATCAGCAAAGAAGGGGTTAAGGAGTGCCTTTGGATCCACCTAGCCCCACCCTGCTACACCTGCAGCCAATGCCAAGACAGGAGGGAGAATAAAAGACGACCACCTGGCTCAGTTCAGGGCTGACAGGCAAACAGCCAGACCCCAAGGCGTGAACAACACTCAAATAAGACACTAGTGGAGGAACCAAGCCCAAAGGAAAGTGCAGGGATGCGCCTCTCTACCCCTCTTCCCACCAGAAGATTGTGGGACAGCCTAGTGTTTGGGGACTTTTTTTTTTTTTGTTATTGAACATTTTTGGGGTTTGAGCCGCTCAATCCTACCCAGAAATGGAATAAGACTGATGGGAAAACTAGCTGATGGAGCCTGCCTCAAATGGTGTCCTGGAACATCCACAAGGGGGCGATGTTCCAGCCACACTACTACTGTAACCTGCTGAACTATTGGGCTATAACAATCTGTTAACCATATATTAAAACCATCTATTAACCCTTTATAAATGAAAACTTAAACACTGTGACTGATTGATTTATTTTAAAGAAGTAGCTAGTCACTCCCCCTCTTAAGGAGTGCATGCACGCATGCATATGAAGCATTCTTCATTGAAATTAAAAAAAAACAAAAACTTTATACCACGTCTTTTACAAGCATGCCGAATGGCATTTACGCTCTTTGACCTAAAAAGAAAAAGCCATCTACAAAGACAGCCAGTACCTGACGAGCTTGGTAATATTCCCTTAGCAGATGGTCTCTCTGGATGATAGCTTCTGTTCTCTCTTTCCTGGCAACATCTCTTTCTTCCTTCACTGTCTCTATATCCTTGCAAGCTTGATCAAGTTCCTTCTGGGCCTCAGCCTTGTCCTTCACTTCATGACAGTACTTTTCCAGCAACTCATTCCTCTCACAAATTGCTCGATCTCTTTCCACTAGAGCTGAGTTTAGCTCCTACAACGAGACCCATTGTTTGCAAGGTGTTAGGTACAGAGCAATATTTCTTCTTTCCAGTTGAATACACATTGACACCTTAAAAACTGGGGGTATATAACGAACATTCTGCAAAATGGAGAATTGTACAGCTCTGTCCCCATATTAAATACAGAGAAAGAATAGCTAACAACATTCAGCAAAGTGTTAAAACTGCCATGCCACCACCTTTAAACACCCTGCTGTCTGAATAATGAAGCACATAATCTAAGAACACTCATGGCTCTGAGAAACCTGGAGAGAGTACATTTGTTGCAAGTCCTCAGGAGTCCTGGACAGCCACTCAGATTTAACACAAAACAATCATATTACATATTTTAAACATATTTTTTTCAATGTTGTAATTACATAGTACTATACAGCTCTCCTTTGCACAATGTGAGCACAAACCTTTCCCTTTCGTGTTATTTCAAAGCAATTTCCTTCATTATTGCATGGCTGAGAGAATATTTTCCAACCTAAGTGAATGAGTGCCCTGAAGCTTCACAGACGTTTTAAAGGGACTTGAGAATCTTACAGCGTAAGACACCAATTGTGTGTACATGTGAAATGTTACAATTGTAAGATAAGAATATGACGCGCCATAATACTGTGAACAATACATTATGTCGAGTGTAGCATACCAGTCACCTGCAAGGTGTGAACATACTATTTCATGGGCCTGTGCAACACCATGAAGACAAAGAGTTATTCTTAGGAGACTTTAAATAGAACTGTTAAGGTCTTAAAAACAATTCTGCTGTTATATTATACCAGAGATTTCTGTCTTGTAGTTGGAGCAGGAGACTTGCACAGGGCTCCTGGGTTCTATTCCCAGCACTCATGCAGTCTGTGTGACCCCGAACAAACCACTTGTCCTGATTTTCTGAGGAGCTGACTTCAGTGGGAGCTGGGGTTGTTTAGAACCTCGGGGGAAAAAATCAGGCCCACCACATCAGTTTGTCGCCTGGCTTGAATAATTCCTCTGCAGAAAGTGTTTTGAGATCCTTGGATAAAGGTGATATAGAAGTAATAAAGCTTCATCAGTGATTAGCAGAGCCAAAAGGCCAACAAAGCACTGTGGCGGAGGAATAATTCCTGACAAGGCTTTTAAATATTAGAAAATCATACTTTAAAAACCTTTGGAAAAATTAGGCATTGCCATAGTTTTCTCAGAGGTGCTCAAGCGGACATAAAATAAAGCAACTGGCTGATTTAGAACAGACATCTCCTCTCTCTAACCAAGAGTACGGCCTTCTCTCCGCTTTATTTGTTTTATGTGGTTTAGATGGAACAGCAACCTGACAGTACAAGACCAAATATCATCTGATGCCCATCAAAACAATTCCCGATAGAAAATGCAGCACTCTGGTCTGAAGAATCATTCTGCATGGCACCAGCACGATGGCTGAATAGGGTGGAAGTGTTAAATTCCACACAATGCTGGGAAAGCAAGACTTCTGGATATAAATAGGTGAAAACAGAGACTACAGTGTGGCAGGGAAGATTGCTAACATGGATCACCAGAGAATTCTCTTCTCTTTAGCAAACAGAAATGGATGCTGTAAATACAAAAAAAAAAAAAAAAAGTGGGACTTCAGTCCCAAATCCCAGCTGAAGAGTTTATACTATTCTCTTGGTAAACAAGAACTGCCATATTGCAGCTATTATTTACAAAAGGTACTGCTACAACTTTTAGCGTGGGACAGTGCTAATAATGATTGGGCAAGTATTGCTCTTTCTTGCTCAATTTGCTTCTGCCTACAGGTATGTAAAACTCAAATTACACTGTTTCATTGTTATATAATCAGATGGAGAATGTAGATAGTTCCCAGGCAGAAAGTGAACTGCTCTTTGCATCTGTGATAAAAATTCTTTCTGTTGTAGGAAGTTTTCAAATGTGAATACATTTGTGATGAAGAGCCCTGTAAGATACAAGAGTGAATACAACTTGTTCGCCAAAGGAAAGAGCCAACTGAATTGCTGAGATAAAATATTATATACCCAGGTAGTTGCTTGTGCACCCCCATCCTAAAAGTAAAATGGTATGGCAGGCTACCTGAGCCTGCAAAAACAGACAAAAATCCCTTATCGAAAGCTCTGTGTATAGCTTAAATCATTGGACTCTTGCCTGAAATTGTCCACAGTAAGAAAGCTTAATTCCATTTTCCTACTTTTGATTTGTTCTATCACCTGTGCGCGCCATAGATTTCAGAAGTGTCTGGATATGGTTTAATCCATTTGTGTTTGAGCAAGCAGGACCCCATGAAGATTTAGAAACTAGGGAGTAGCACTAGGTCTGAGAGTTCATGGCTCATTAATCTTTAAAAGCTAAAATTATTTAAAAAAACCCTAGCTTTGATAGCTTTTACATTTTAGAATAGCACAAAAACTGCATCACTATACACAGATGTACTAGGATGAACATTTAAAACAGCTTAAATTGATGCAGTGCTGTTTTAGACAAATAGCTATGACCATAATAACATGACCGTCATAACAGCAACATATCACTAGGTGGAGCTACACACAATAGGAAGCAATTGTAGTACGAGATATAGTCAAACTCGTTGAAAGGATAATCCCGTTTACGTGGGATTCTCATGCATGGTACTCCAAGCGGAAGTGTCACTTGATCAATAAACCACCTGTATATCCCTCTCAAATTCCTGCCCAGGTACTAGATCCAGTCAGAACTAGATAAATACAAGTTCAGATGGTCAGCATTACATAACAAAGGAACACCCTGCTCAGAGGCAGAATATCCCCATAATTATAAAGAAAAACTGAAGTGCCAGCACAGTAATGTTAATTTATATTAGTGGTTCTGAAACTTTTTTTTTTTACTGGTGACTCCTTTCACATAGCAAGACTCTGAGTGCAATCCCCCCCCCCCCCATATATAAAAAATAGTTTTTAATTTATTTAACATTATAATAAATGCTGGAGACAAAGCGGGGTTTGGGGTGGAGGTTGACAGCTCACGGCCTCCCATGTAATATCCTCGTGACCCCGAGGGGTCCAGACCCCCAGTTCGAGAACCCCTGATTTACATAATTAAAAGAGTTGTTCAAGCAAAAGCTACGGCAGCAGCCTCACTAATACAGACACTAAAAAAAACATTCATAACATTTTATTTTAAAAAAATATGTCAGCAACTAGCATCCTGTTCATCAGGATTATGTCCTCCTTCCTGTCCCTATTCAACTACTCATCCAAGTGCTTTCAAGATTGTGAGCTAACTCTCCGGGAATGCTTATTTGTTTTATTTTTTAATCTTATGCTTAATAAGCACCCATGCAAATTGCTGTAGGAACTGTGTGGATTGTTAAAACAAATTATGAGTGTTCAGTCAACTCTGGGTGAGATTTACAGAAGTTACCCTTACCCTGCTGTCACTGAAATTAATGGTAAAACTACGACTGTCTTCAATGGGATCGGAGTTAGGCCAACACTGAGAGCTTCTGAAAACCCCACCTTTTAGCTATGTCTATGGCGCTGCAGCTCTGCCTCTGTAGAGCCATAATACGGACCCTTCCCATATCAATGGCAGGGGTTTTTCTATCAATGTAGTTAATCCACCTCTCTGAGTGGCAGTACCTAGGTCAACGGAAGAATCCTTCTATTTACCTCGCCATATCCACACTGGGGTTAGGTTGACCTAACTATGGTGCTCAGGGTGCAAACATTTTCACAGCTGAGTGACATAGCTAGGTCAATTATTTATTTTATTTGTTTTTAAGTGTAGACCAGGCCTTATTGATTTAGGTTCCAGACAGCTAGCACCTACCAAGTTCAACTGTTAGGCCAAAGTTTTTTTAACTTGGTTGTTTGAGTGTTGGCTACATAGCCTAACCCATATTTATGTACCTAAATAAGAGAGATCTGGTATTCAGAACTGCAGTTGGATAATTTTATGTAAAGGATTATTTGTGATCAATGACAAGCATGTGAAAGAAAAGCCAAAAAAAAAAAAAAGGATTTATGGGCACTAGAAAAGTATTTGGTCATATGTGAATCACCTAAGCAAAATATTTGAAAACTGAATGACCAACTGAATACTATTTTACTATTTAGCACCACGCTGCATTTGTAAATCCTACTAACAGCACTCATGTTTTAAACATTAAGAATATATTGCTGAAGTAATACTTCTTTGGGATTAATATGATTTATAAAGCAGTGCCTGCATTTTTGTAAATCACAGTGCCAAATATCTCCTATTTTGAGAGGCTAAACGGCAAAGAACAGGGGGGCATAATTGTAGTCTTTGAGTAGATGTTAAAATGAGGCTGAGAGTCTATTTTATAATGCTAGGCCTTTTTTCTTAATAGATAATGCCCAGATGTGTCTCTCTTAGCTACAAGTTAAAAATGAAAGAAAAAAATTATATATCTGAGTTCTATCTATTGTTATACAGTGCATCATTTGCTGGATACAAAAGGTTGGCTTGTTAAAATGAGGAATTTGAAGTGAACTGAACAGAACAAGTCAAGTGCATAGCAGATTGCAGCTGACAGGTACTCAACTGTATTCAATAAAGAGTGCCGCCAGGAGAACATGAGCCAGGACTTTCCTTTTCACAATGAAGCTATGTTTCCCATCTATCGGGCATGCATTTTTTTTTGCACAGCTGCAAGAAGGCACTGGTAAAACCGCTTTATCCTCCCACCCACAACAAAATGGTCCCTTGGTACCTGTCTTAAAGCTTCCATCTCTTCACTAGCCACTCTTTTCTCTGAGGAAGTGTTTTTCAGTTTGGACTCTGCAAGCTCTAGCTCAGTTTGAAGCTTATCCACCTCTTTGATCACTTGGTCTCTCTCACTCATTATGAGGCGATACTCATTGAAAACAGAGTCTCTCTCTTCCTTGTACTTCTCTGCATCCTTCACTGCCTTCAGCTGCATTGTTTTGAACCGCGTCACTTCTGACTGTAACCGCTCCATCTCTCTCTGCAACTCCTTGTTCTGCGCAGTTGCTTTGCTTAGCTCTTGCTGAATTGACTCAAACCTAAACAAAAAAAAAGAAACAAAGACGCTTCCATCATTCTGCATTTTCCTTTTATAGAGCTGGTGAAATGTAGGGCTGGAAGGAACTCAAGAAGTTATCAAGTCCAGCTCCTGGCACTGAGGCAGGGCCAAGTAAACCTAGATCATCCTTGACAGGTGTTTGTTCAACCTGTTCTTAAAAACTTCCAATGATGGGGACTCCACAACCTCCCTCGAAAGGTTATTCCAGAGTTTAACTACCTTATCATTAAAAAGTTTTTTCTAATGTCTAGCTTACATCTCTCTTGCTGCAGATTAAACCTATTACTTCTTGTCCCACTTTTAGCAGACATGGGGAACAATTAATTATTATCCGCTTTGTAATAGCCCTTAACTTATGTGAAAACTTACCAGCTTCTCTCTCTCAGGACTAAACATGCCCTTTTTTTTTTTTTTTTTTTTTTAACCTTTCTTCATAGGTCAGGTTTTCTAAACCTTTTATCATTTTTGCTTCTCTCCTCCGGATAATCTTATTGTAGTGCACATCTATACAACTAAATGCTTCCTACATGTTCAAGAGTATCCATTAAACAGCAAAACTTTGCAGAACACCTTTTTTTAAAGGGCATCCATCCACACTACAAACTTACAGCGGTATAACTACATTACTCAGGGTGTGAGAAATCCACACCCATGAGTGACAGAATTATATCAACCTCACCCTGGCGTAAACTGCGAACATTGAAGGGAGAGCTTCTCCCATCAGCCTAGCCACTGCCTCTCACGGAGATAGATTAACTGCGCCAACGAGAGAAGCTCTCCCGTCAGCATAGTAGCATCTTCACTAAAGTGCTATAGCAGTGCTGTACGTGCAGACAAGCCCTTAGTGTACGAGTGCAGTCCTTTTCAACCATTTCTGTCCCAGAAGCCCCCCCACCCCCATCTCCAGAACTCCTGCCCCACCTGGCCAGAACCCATTTAGAGATATGAGAAGGCTGGGTGGTTGCAACTGAAGATTTGTAATTAAAATAGGAAAAACATGCACTTGATGCACAGAAGCAGTAAAAATAAAGCAAATAATTTTTTTATAATGTATATAAAATGTGATCAATAATAATTCTGAAAATACACCATTACAGAAATTGATGATCTGTTTTTGCCTGAAATAATGTGTTCTGTTCTGGGCACTCCATCCTGGAAAGGATATAGCAAAGGCGGGGGTGGGGGGAGAAATGGAAATTACCAGTGCCATTGTTTAGAAAGGAGATAAATTAGAGGTGTGGAAAATGTGGGGGATAAGGACAGTAAATTGGATGCTCCCATTTGCCTTATTCTGATAAGAGAACAAAGGGTCATCAGCTAACTTAAGGGCAACACATTTAAATTTGATTTAAAAAAGTATTTCTTTTCAACACAACATGTAGTTAATATGTGAAGTTTATTGCCACAAGGTGTAAGAGGCCAAGAGCTTAGTGAGATTCAGAAAAGACTTAGATATCCATATGAATAATAAGAGCATCCACAGTTATGTTGATAGAATTTAAAAAATAATGAAGGATATAAATCCTCATGCTTCAGAGCATAAGCCAACCACTAACTGATGGGAGTTCGGAAGAAACTTCTCCTAGGAGCATATTCTTCCATAATTTTACACAAAGGGATTTCTTTGCACCTTTTTTCCTGAAGCATCTGGTTATTACCAATGGCAGAAACAGGGTACCTGCCTTAATAGATCTAGTCTGATTCAGCATGGCAATTCCTATAGGCCTCTAGCATATTTTGCGTTCTCACACAAACACTTAGCATGATCGAGACATGGTTCTTGTGCAAGCCAGTATATGATGCTTTGACCCTGGAAACCAGAGCTGTAAGCCTGATTGTCAGGCTGTGCCAGGCTCTGGGCCTATCAGGTAAGCAGGGAACGCTACCTAAGATATTTAGTTGAGGGCACCTGCAAATTTAAAGCATCTCCATGCCATTAGACATCTGTCAGTAATTTGCAAGTGTCTCCTCTGCCATTAGTGCAGATTAAAGAATCTCCTTACAGATCCCCAGTCTGTAGACAACAGAAAAATCTACTGTTAAGTACTTTATTTTATTTTTCTTTTGGAGTTGTGGGCAAACCTGAGGATGAGACTGCACCTTACCGGGCATAGATAACACATTAAAAGCCTGTGAGACACATACGTGATATATAACCTTGTGGCCGTGTGCATTCCAAGCACCATTATGGTCACAGAGAAGGGAATGGGGGGAAAAAATTAAATCAGTATCTGCCGAACGGAAACGGGGCATCAGCTATAAAGAGGCTACATGATATAAAGATTGTTTTTTTAAGCAGAAGAAAAAACACTTAAGCCATCAGGGAGTATTTAAATGGGGGAGGAAAATCATATCTTCTGTAGAGGATTCTTCTATCTGTTAAACTATCATAATACGGATAGCTGAGTAGATATACAATGAAGTTTTACGTGGAAAACCTGGCTTCAGAACTGACCTTGAGCCGACTGCTCTCTGCCTCCAAGGAGGAAAGAGCAAGAGACAGCTGGCATCACACTTTCACAGCTCAGAGGCTTCCTATTCTATCCACAGGGTCAGTACTACCAAGCCATGTTTTGTTAAACAAAAACAAAATGCAATTTAGACTCTGCTTAAACATGTTTTTAAACCAAATTGCAGTTAAAAAGTGCTGAAGTTTGCAAGTTTTGTAGCGAGTTAGTCCTTAACCTAAACTGCAGATTTGGTACATTTGATACTCTGAAAAATGAATTTTGAAAAGAGCAATATTTCATGCTTAAAAACAATATACTGACCATGCACAAGGATTATTTTCAAGCTGTTTTTAATTATAAATTTACCATTCAGTTAAATATATTTTTGATTGAATGGTTATGAAGAGGGAAAAAGAAGTCACAAGCAAAGAGCTAACAGGTTAAAACCCCATAACTATGCACTCACAAAAAAAACAAAAAAACCACCCAACAACAACAAACCACCCATACAAAATGAATAAAACTCAATGAAATAAGTTCCTCAGTTCAATTAACTTGCTTTCTCATATGCTACTGAGAAACAGGACTGCAGTTCCTCAAATTCCCCAGACTTCACATTCCAGTGCTACACTATTACACCACACAACACAATAGATTTTCTAACAGACTTCATTTCTTCATGAGGACTCTTTCAGTGACTATACAGTACTAACCTTGAGCGGAGTATTCCATATACCTCGTTAAGAGCCAGTATATTATGCAAATCCCCAAGCAAGTAGATTCTAGAATTTAAATAGAAGTCTGCGTATAAAATTTACTTCCTCTCTAAAGAGGAATCCTATAGAACAGGACTATAACATCGGTCACCAAGGCTTTGTCAATATAACCAGAGTTCCCGCACTGCTCACGACCGCACATTAAGCTTTTGCACACGTCCAGAAGTCAACAAAGCAGGTACAAAACGTTGCCAGTTTAACCTTCTGATGCATCACAGATACATAAATGGCAATGCAAATGTGTCCATGCTGCAGCCCTCATCCCAGCTAACAGAGAGTTCTGTGTTCACGGGATGATAGGAGGAAACCAGAAAACAGTGAGAGAGAATTTTAGACTTTCAGCTCTGACCCTCATAAGGTTATCCCTAACTTATGGCAGGAAAAACCCATGGCACCCCCAGTGGCGGATTTAGAGTTAGTGTGGCCCTGTGCTCAGCTTCATTTTTGGGGCCCCTTCTTGGGACCCAGCCAAGAAAAAGAACATTCTCTCTTATCTCCCTCCCACCCCCGTTTTTCATTCTTTTTTTCTTCATCCTCCTCCTATAAGTAATAGGAAGTAAATGAAAATAAAGTGAGGTACCTTGATTGTTTTTGTAGTCTAACTTATTTTTCCACAGACCACTTGAAAATCGCTGACGGTCTCGGCAAACCACTTAATGATCTTTCCAAATACTGTTTGTACCATTAGCTAACTATTGTAGGGGGGGGGAGAAATATGTGCCGTGGAGGTGCAGGAGCCCAGCCTTTGCTCTGCCCTGCCCCAATTCTACCCCCTTCCCCAAGGCCCCGCCCCCGCCTCTTCTCTGCCTCCTCCCCTGAGCGCTTTGCAGCCCCGCTCCTCCCCTTCCCTCCAGGAGCGACCTCAGCGCTAGCAAACAGCTGTTTGGCAGCAGGGAAAGTGTTGGGAGGGGCGGGAACATGGCACGCTCCGTGGGTGCCGGTGGGGGTGGAGCCTGCAGTAGGAGCCCCAGAAGCTGGCAGGACCAAGCTTCTGCCCCCACTGAGCCAGGGCACCCTGTGTTTCACTGTAAATCCACCTCTGGGCACCCCCAACTCACCTACACACATCCTTTTCAGGTCTTCTCTACACTTGTACTTTTCTTATCCCCTTTTAAGCAGTGGTGTAAGCCATTCAAGATCTAGCGTAAGCCATGCGCAGGGTCGAGTTAGATGACATGATGCTAAAAATGCCTGTGCCCATTCTGTGCCGGCATTTACCCAGCTGGTAGCCCTGCTAAAGAACAGGTCAGAAGTTTCCTAGTGAAGACACACCCTCACTGACTTCTGTTCAGCTGACTCTAACCCATGATGCCGTCAGGCTGCAGCATCACTGGAGATCAGCATACAGTCTGAGATACCATTACAGCACCATGAAGGTTTTCTCTAGGCCTGGGGCCCTCTTCATTAGCTAAAACTCCACTCCAGGAACAAGAACTCTACCTGGCAGCCTATGTTTATGCTACAATGGATTCATCATCTATTGAGTCGAGTTCATTAAACCTGGCAAACAAAGCCCCAAACCTTTCAGGTTTGACAACAACTAATGTACCCCTGAATGGACATTTGACTCCCCTTAGATAGGAGTCAAGTACAGCTGAGAAGAAAGAATAAACCCCTATGAACCACAAGTTTTCTTAGATGAACTGAAGGACAGTTTTTACAGGATTTTACATACATAAAAACATAATCCTGGGAAAGGTTGGGCAGGGCAATAATTTCCTCTCAATGATTTTTAGTCCCTGAAGTTGTGGGGGGGGGGGTGTGGAGTTCTTTTTGTTTTTTTTACATACTGACTAAGGTGCCTTCCACTGTAGATACACAAATGTTTAGAAAAATACTGGCTTATGTTACCATCTCTTTAAAATGCCACTCAGCAGCAGAATTGGTATCGACTACACAATGTACATGCAAGTCACCAAAAGCTGCCTATACCTTCTAAGAGAGGAGGAATACTGCTGCTGGACATGTATTGCTGTGTCCCTCTGTTTCATTAACATGTCAATCTGCTTCTGAAGACGCCTGTTCTCCTCCTCAGTCTGTTCTAGCCGGCTAAGGTCTGTATTGTGGCTTGCTATCTTCTCATTGTACCGTTTCCTTAACGCATCATAATCCTTTTTCACACCTTCTAGCTTGTCCATTGCTGTATCATAGAGTTTATTTAGTATCTCTGAGGATCCATTCTGTTTCATAACCTAACAAACAAACAAAAGGATAATTTCAGTAAGAGGTACATGTAAAAGAGACTTTTCACTTGTTTTTAAATAGTATGAATATCTTAGGAGACCTGTTAAATATGAAAACTACTTAACGTTTTTTGCTTACTACTTCGCTACTTTTCTCCTCAAACTCAGTGTCCATGAAAAAACATTTAAGTTGAATTAGGCCATTTTGAAAAGGAAATCTCTACATACAAGATTCTTAGCTTCAGGCTGGTAATACTCACATTCAATACATTTAGATGGAAAAACATGACAGTATCAATAGTCCTATAAAAATTGCTTTGCTATAGACAAGCAATCTAAATAAAAAGGGCAAAAAAGGTACCAATAGTTAGTCTTAACACATGGGTCTTAAAAAAAAAATAAAAAACCACAACATTAGACAAGGAGATATCTAACTTAGTTTACTATTACTAGTTGAACAAATACTGATAATAACTTTTCCACATTTCAGCTGCCAAATTATAAAGCACTACCCCAAAACATAACTTTGGAAGCTGTGATAATAGTGATTAATACCTCATTTTACCAGTCTCACTCACAACAACAATTCAAACTCATATAACTTAAATTTCAAAAGATGAAAGGCTAGTCTGGGTAAGATTTCCATCCAGTCATGCATTTCAGTATACATAGTTATTTCATCTTAAAAACATCTAGTAAAGAAGCATTTGTTCAGAAAGCTACCCATAGCTAGATTATTTTGCTCCCAAAAATATTGTGAGTTTTATGTTTAAAAGGGTCAAATCTAGCCTAAAGTTTAGATGCATTTGAGGAGGGTACTAGAGAAACTTAAAAGGAATACTTTCATAAAATACTTCCCGCAGCTCCCATTGGCTAGGAACAGCGAACCGTGGCCACTAGGAGCTGCGGGCAGCCGTGTAAACGTAAACAAACTATCTGGCGGCCTGCCAGCGGATTACCCTGACGGGCTGTGTGCGACCCGTGGGCCGCAGGTTGCCCACCACTGCTCTGAGAGATTGCTGACAGTTTCGTTGCAAGGACCACAAATACAGAGAGAAACCTTGTGGATCACTTCCCCTCCTGTTCATGATCACACAGACTACTAGTATACCATTTGCAATTGCCCAACACTCCCTTGGCAATTATAGTTAAGGCTATGATTTAGTCATGGGTATTTTTAGTAAAAGTCACGGACAGGTTGTAGGCAATACACAAAAATTCACAGCCCTTGACCTGTCCTTTACTTTTACTAAAAATACCCATGACTAAATCTTGGGGTGGGGGGTGTCGCTGCCCAGGGGTGGGCAGTGGCACCAGCTGCCGGGGCTGACTAGCAGTGGCTATTCCAGCTTCCCCTGGGACCGCTGCTTAAGGGGTCTCCAGAGCCAGCTGCCCAGGGCCACCTAAGCAGCGACCGGAGCAGTTGGCTATGGGCAAGCCCGAGCAAGTGGCTGCAGAGCCGCTCCAGCAGCAGCCGGTGTGGCTGTCCCTGGGGCCAGCTGCTTGGGAGGCCCTGGGGTCAGCCACACTGGCCGCTGCAGAAGTCACGAAGGCTGCGGAAAGTCACGGAATCCGTGACCTCTGTGACAGACACGGAGCCCTAATTATAGTCATTGCTGACTCCTTAATTCCTGCTGCTTCTACACACACTCAGGCTCTTCTTTACACTGAAAAGCCTAGATGCTTGGAGAAGAAGCTGGAAATGAGTAGCAGCTACCAACTTTATATGACTGCCAGTTCTCTATAGATCACCAGTAACCCAGACTGCAGCTTGATAAAGCTAATCTTATACATCACAACCACACAGGTCAGAAAGTGAGGCTCCTAACAGTATGATTTTTATCCTGACACTGTCCCCTTTAACAAACCTAGAGATACAAAAACCCAACTGACAAGAACTCTGAGCTGTTTGGTTCCAAGTCAACTTGACAATTTGGACATAACAGAGGCCCAATTTAGCAATGACTTAATCAGGTGCCAAACTTCAAGCTTGTGTGCTGTCCCATTCACTTCTGGGGCACTACTCATATGCTTGAAGTAGGCACATGATTCAGTGCCTTGCTGAACTGAGGCCTTAGGATGTGATTCAGGAAATAACATCAGCACGTTCTTTTGTCCACCCACATTTAGGGGAGCACACTTTTTAAATAGCAGACTTCAGCATGTGTTTAAAATTAAGCATGTGCTTAAGCGCCGTTAATGGGTAGGGATGGGGCCTTGACCATCACTGAACCGTCTAAGAAAAACAAAGTTTACTGAAAAAGAAAAAGAAATGGTACTGAAACCAAACTTCGGAGCTGAATATCTGAAGCTCTCAGACAGAAGCAAACATCTTCTCACAGCCTAAAATGTATGGGGCCCCTTCTCATTGACAATAATCTTAAACAACTATCAGATTAAGTAAGCAGAAAGAGAAAAGACTAATCCAAAGATAGCAGGAGTTTGACTAAGTTTAAAATAAAGACTCTAAAATGCAAATGGGGTTTGGAGGGAGGAAGGGAAGAAAAGTGAAAATGCCACAAACAGGAATCATAGTAATAAGGAAAATCTCCCATCCAAAGCCCCAATATGAGGAAGAGAAAATAGTCCAAGCTGGACCCTAGGATACAGCCATGGCAACGAAAACCTCATACGCGAACAATAGAAACTTAAAGGCCAGTCAGCTGCTGTTCAGGAAATCAAGGACAGTCCCACACAGTAGTAGTCATTTGATTAACAGTTTTGTTTCTCAAGCAGTTGGGCTACTGTGTTTTGCTACAGTCTGGTGATGGCATGACACATCAGAGAGACCATCAAAAATAGATTTAGATTAATCCAGATTCAAAATGACAAAGACTAAGATAAGACTGATGGCATTCCTTCAGAACAACATGATTCACACTGACATACCAAGAAAAGGAGCCATGCATGTTCCTCATTGTCTGAATTTAACAAAATTTCCTTGAAAAGGGTAATGATGACGTTCGCACAATATTAAATTATTTTGAAAAAACAGATAATAGTAATAACACTGACTTTATGCTGTGCTTCCAATCAAAGAATCTCCAATTGCTGGACAAACATTAAAGCTGAATAGCACTTTGTGGTAGAAAGAAAAGGAGTACTTGTGGCACCTTAGGTTTCACATTACCATTTTACAGAGTGAGAAACTAAGGCACAGAAAGGGTAAGTGACTTGACCAAACTCGCATAGCGAATCTGTAGTGTAGCAGAGCAGGGAATAAAAATCCAAACTTCTGCAGTCCTAGTTGTTTCACATATACAGATATATAGGAGCACCCCTTCAAGTTAACCTGATATCAGAGGAAACGAGCAAGACAAAATACAAAGTTAATAAAACAAAAACAAAAAACCCCACAAAGAAACAAAAACAAAACAAAAACTAAAAACACTGTTAACACCTCAGTCTCTATAGCTTATTTTGACTTTTACCCTTCAAGTCTGGCAAGTAATTATTTTTGTTTGTATCGACTTTGCTTCTGAAGCTTAACCATTTAAATTTAAAGTTTGTCTCGTGAATCAGCCCACAGAGTTAGGCAAAGCCATCTATTTGGCCATTCCACAAGTTACCGTAACTGTTCCAACTGAATGATCCCTTTTCTGTAAATGAACGGTGGACTCACTGCCACTTCCAGGTTGTTTTTTTCTGCCAGCCCTCTTGCCTATTTTTATCCCTAGCATGTGAACTTTACTACGATTAAAACACCAACCAACTTGGTGTTGAGACTGCTTAATTCATTCTTCCATTCTTTCATCCTTGAAAAGCTCTTTTTTTTTAAGTTTGAAGTTTAAAAGCATTAATCAATCTGTAGCATTGTTCTAAATGAATAGTGTCTGTGAACCTAAATAACCAAACTTTGTTCAATCATTCCCCTAACCTTTAAAGGTGTTACTGGGAGAAAGAAAAACTTCCACTCATTTTTTGTGATACTTTCCAAATATAAACACAGGCTGGACTTTTGCATGCCCACAGCTATTCCTGTCCCAAGAAATACCTAAAGATCAAGGGACAAAAGCCATTCTTTTTTCATTATCATAAGCCTTTAAATTAGATTTAGCATGACTAAAGCTTATAATTATCCAGAGTTCTTTCTTCATATTAGGAAAGGGTCAACTCTTAACAGTTTTACTTAAAAAAGCGCTCAACTTTGTTACTATGAGTATGATGTGATGTTCAAGAACGATGAATAAACAATCAACAGTTAACTATTAACAATGTGCCCAAAATTATCAAGTCAGTGCAGATATGCTTTGATTCATCGTTATTCTGGCAAAAACTTGTGTTACGTTTTCATTGTAAACCCTTAAAGTAAGAGGCATGTAATTCAATAATAAGTCTCTTAAGGCTGAAATTTTGTCTAAGGGTTGAAATGAGGTTACGGTAACATTTATATATAAATTCCTATTCCAAAAAAAAACAGACCAAACCAAAACACCTCCACCCGAAGTACTCATGAAGCCAAAAGTAGTCATATCCATTGTCTTTTCAGGACAGGCTGCAATCAGTATTTCCACTGACTCAAAGGGCTTTGGAACAGATGCACAGAGCTGAGCGCTCAGCAATTCTGAGAATTGGGCCTCTTATTTAGGGGCTTAAATACGAATTTAGGAGCCTAAGTTTAGGCACCCATTTTTAAAATATAGAAGTTTTAAAATGACCATGTCCCTTCAATGTATAAATCAGTGTTAAACTCAGACATTTGGGTCTGTTGATGTCAAACTTCCTCCTTATTTAACAGTTTATGTAATCCCAATTCCTCTTTACGATTAACTGACGCTTCAAAAAATTTCCTACTAGTACAGATAAATTAACAGCCAGTTGTTTTTTACCAAGATCCTAAGGGACAACTCCCTTTTATTTTACTGGCAAACAAGGAGAGGAGCATAGAGAGCAATTATAAACAAGGTAATCCACAACTCACTGGTAAACAGATTTTACACTGGATTCTAAGGCTACACAAAGAAAGGTACCTGTGAGGGGCAACCAATCTGTAAGAGCAAGGCTGGGCTGGTAGGTGCAGACAAACACAGGCACTTTGAGTAATGTCTCAAAGGTATATTTAATATCTGCCTCTGGCTGACTGAGGGGAGTTTAAAAGAATGTGGACTTTTTTTAACTGATAATAATCCATATATTCTATGTCTAGATCATCTGTGCATATGAGAGAAAATATCTATTACATGAAAAGAATGTCTTGGCAAGTCTTTTCATATGTTCCTTAAGTTGTCCCTGAATCTAACTTGTCTGTAATGTCTAATAATGGATTCCCTTGCTTTCCTACTCTCCCTGTTTCTCCCTTTGCACAGTGTTTTCTCCTTCCTATCCTCACAGTCTCTCCATTACAGAATAAATACCAGGGAGGGAGAGGAGTTGTTTAAGTTAAGCGCCAGTGTGGACACAGGAACAAATGGATATAAATTGGCCATCAACGAGTTTAGGCTGGAAATAAGATTAAGGTTTCTAGCCATCAGAGTGAAGTTCTGGAACAGCCTCCAAAGGGGAGCACTAGGGGCAAAAAACCTAACTGGCTTCAAGACTGAGCTTGATAAGTTTATGGAGGGGATGGCACGAGGAGACTGCCTACAATGGCACGTACCTGCAACTGCTAACAGCAAATATCTTCAATGGCCCGTAATGGAACACTAGATGGGGAGGCTCGGCTCGGAGTTACTACAGAGAATTCTTTCCCAGGTGTCCGGCTGGTGGGTCTTGCCCACATGCTCAGATCTAACTGATCTCCAGATTTGGGGTCGGGAAGGAATTTCCCCCGTGGTCAGATTGGCAGAGATCCTGGGGTTTTGTTTTGTTTTGTTTTTTAACCTCTGCAGCATGGAGCACAGATCACTTACAGGTTTAAAAACTGGTGTAAGTCTTTAAATCATGATTTGAGGACTTCAGTAGTTCCACCGGAGGTTAGGGGTCTAGTTCATAAGTGAGTGGGTGAGGTTCTGTGGCCTGCAATGTGCAGGTGGTCAGGCTATATGATCATGATGGTCCCTTCTGACTTTAAAGTCTATGAGCCTATTCATCTCTTCCAGTCCTTATTCCCCCTCTCACACACACCGTTCTCTCCTTCCCCCCAAATCCACTCATATATAACCTCAATCCACACCGATCCATACCCTTTCTCTCCCTTGCATGTCCCCCTGCCAAAATTCCCCCCCACACAGTCAGTCCCAGCTGATGCTGCTAAACTACCGGAGAATAAGTAGTCTCCTTTTTGTTTTTTTGGGAGAGGTAAGTAGTACAACTCCTCATCCTACTAGATGCTGAAAGACATTTCATATTGCAGATCCAAGTTTGCAGGGCTAGCAGGTTTTAAAAGTAAAAAGATTTTTCCAACTAAAAGACATGAGATCCAGAGTCACTAAAACACAAGGAAGAAGGAACCCCACACAAGGTCAATTTTAGAGAGTCACTTATCAGAGAACAACGACAATTAAATGCACACGCTATCATTGTGTTTTAAATGGCAGTTTTGTGACTTGCACTGTCAGATATATGGTGTATAGGGAACATTACTCCAATTGGTGCAAAGGTAAAAAGAAAGGTAAGTGGTAGGCCAGCCATGCAATGCTTTACATTCCATGAAAACATTAAACAGTTGCTCACAGTATTCATGACAAGAGCTACAGCCTACCTGCTGTTGCTGACTGCGTAGGTCTGTTATCTCTTTCTGATCCTCATCATGAAGTCTCTTCATTTCCTCACATGATTGTTGGAGATGGTTATGCTCTCGCACCAGTTGTGTATTCTTCCTCTTCAAGGTATCCATGTCCTCCTTCAGCTGTGATTGGTCACTCAGCAGTCGACTATGCAAGGTACTAGAATGCCACAAAGAAAGAGCACTTAGATGCAAACTTTCCAGGAAGCCCTCTTCATGCCGATGCACTAATCCATATCAAACCAAATCAAAGTTTCAAATTAAAAAAGGCAGATGAAATTAACTGACTCATTTCTTCAGATCTGAATATTCCAAATGCCATGTGCCAGCTAAATCCTACTGAAGAAAGACAGGCAGCACAACCAGAGACCTTCTGGAGTTAAGTGATTTGAAAGCCCTGTGCAGCATTAAAATAGATATATTATAGATTTATGCAGAACAAGCAGCCCCCGCCCCCTGTAGACCATCTCAACAAGCAAACTGCTCAAGAGGCACAGAAATTGTGTCACTGGGCATACAAGATCTTCTAGGCAAAATAAATTAGCAGCATATTTGAACAACACTTGAACAACACAATACAATATGATAGAACAAAACATCAATAGAGTAGAAAAAGCTTTCTGCTTGTTTGCTTTTGTTTTTTGTTGTAAAGCTACCAGTTGTTATACCAAATTGGGTATATTGCTTGTAATAGTTGACAAGTGTATATTCACACTTAAAATCACAACTAAGTCACATTATTGAGGATATAATTCAAACTCTAATTCAGTGCAGCAGCCCAACTTTAGAGCAGATTGCTGTTGGAGCAGACCAAGAGATATAATTAAATGGTATTAAGTTGCAGTTTAGAGAAAAGAAGGACAATAGGATGTGGCCAGGTTTTATTGTTGAAACAAAGTGATTCAGTCCTAACTCTCCCACATACCAGGAAACTGTTCAAAGTCCCTGTAATAAAACTGCTGCTGTCTGTCGTTTCTCTTTTAAAAAAAAAAAGTGATTGGAATCATATTTACAATTTTAAAAAAAATCTGTACACTTTTCTATATTATAAGCACACCTTGTACTCCCACTCCTTTCTTAAGAAGTGAGCTACATTTCCTGTACAAAATAACCCAATGGAGAGCTTATAGAAATCATCAAATTAAAAAAATGTGGAAATAACTTGGGCAAAAAATTAAGCCTTTGGTAAATTATTTTTACAAGACTAAATATATGCAATCCTTACACCTGGGACTGACTGATCTCAGCATCTGCTATTCAGATTTTACTTGGATTATAAATTATTTGGGGCAGGCTTGGTTTTTTTCTGTATTTGTTCTCCATCTAGCACAATGGGGTCCTGGACCATGACTGCGGCTCTGAGATGCTACCACAATTAATACAATGTTAAAATCAACCCCGACTAGAGAGCTCCACCTACTCTCTTCCAAAATAGCTTCAAGAATAATTCATAAGACAAACATGATTTTATGAATCGGCCAAAATTATGTGTCTCAGATTAGACATCCAAAATTACTGATCACTTGAAAACACAAGTCAACTTGGATAAATGTTTTGTTGAAACCAGGGTAGTGCCAAACTTTCAAGGTTTTGGTTCAGCATCCAAAACTTGCTAAACCTCAGAGTTTGCAGGACACATACTAAGATAAATTCATAGAGCAAGTGTATCTATACTTGAGTACGGCTTGGTTCGAAACTTAGTAAATTCCTTGGCAAGCCGTCGTTCACTGAAACACCTATCCCTAACACCCTAATAATAGGCCTCAAACTCCCCACTAGTCTTCATTCAACTTAGAGAAACCAGTCAAAAGGTGCTTAACAGACATGGCAGACAAGATTCCTGCTGGGCCTTAGCTGCCATTGCACCCAAGATGTCTCACATTCCCCACTTGGGAAACACTGCTGAGCATACTCTATCCTGAAATGTGAGATTTTTAAATGCAAAGAAACCAGGACGCAAAAAGACCGCAGGATTTGGTGGATCCCACAATTCTTATTCCAGTATTAATATCTTCAAAGGAAGGAGACGTGCAAGATGCTGAACGGAGCGGGAGGAAAAGAAGAGATGACATTGCAGGAAACATGCCCAAGGATGTGTTTTTAATTTGAGCTTCTATGTGGGGAGGGAGGGGAAAATCACAGGTCTATCTGAAGTGGCAGGTAAGGAGTCTACTTATCCAAATCTTAATAAAAGTTCATTTTGGGGAAAAGTGGGCTTACCTCTGAGACAATAAAAAATGCTATTTTTTTGCTGGCCAGATAGTCTCACAGAGTACCTAGTCTTATAGAGTACTTAGTGCAAGCATAAAAGTTTGCTATTGCCTTGTATTTGTCTTATGTAAAAACCAAAATTGCTGTTCCTCAGAGAAAATAATATTCTTAGTTACTTGTGTATGTGAGTGCAATTACAACAGAATAATCACTCTCAACAGCCTTTTGCCCCCAACAAGTAAAATTTAAATCCTTAAAATACCTTCATACAGATATAAAACAAAAACAACACAACATTATAATCACACAGATTATAGAACTGTGGTTTGCAAATAAGGGAAATAAAACCCTACCATCAATTCAAGGAGTGCAAACATTTTACATTAGCCTTTCACATACACAGAAAAAGCAGCTACAGGAATCTAACTAAAAATAAAGACATCTGTAGCTTCATCTAGAATTTATTAGCAGGCAGAACAACTTGGAAAGAGCACTAAGGACAGAGTGTCTCAGGCTTGTGATCTCGTGGAACTGACATCTAATAAATAAGAAACAAACCACCTCTGAAGGATCCTTAGATAACGACAAAGGTATAAAGGGGTAAAATAGTGTGTTGCAAGGATCTTCTATTGTTCCTCCATAGCAAAATCAAGTGGACAGACAGGATCAACAAATCTCCTCGGCAAATAGCCATGCAGCTCACTTAGTTTGCACATGGTGAATTTTCTTACTAACATTTTTTTCAAATTTTGCCTGCTGATGGTGTAAGAGCGACAGTACTAAGCCAGCCAAATCAGACGTTGTTCCCAGATTGTTACACACTTATCAATTGTGCATTGTGTGCCATTAGAGAACAGTAGCCTTAAAGCTACTTCCAATATTATATTTGCCTCATTTTTTTCTGCTAAGCTGAATACCTTTCCAATTAATAAAAATTAGACTGGTCTAAGATCACGTACATGTCACGTTCATTGTTGCACCAGTACCCGGTTTCAAGCCCAATATCTTGATCATCATCAGTGCTAGAAGCAAATGCTGGCATCTTCTCCCCACAACTTCACCACATTTTCACATGTACTCGTTGATGGTCTAACTCAAAGTGTTAAAACATCCACTGATGTCAATGGAAGCGGAGTCAGGCCAATGCAGAACCTATTTTAAAATCCCACCTTTTATTTCTAGACTGGCCGTGTCATGAAATATCCAATCTCAATCACACTTTAGTAACTAGTTTGCCTTGCTCCACACCACTAAACCACAATTCCATCATGGCTTTAGAAGTTGCTACTAAAAGATCCCTAAAGATCAAAACCAATGCTTTTCCCCTTCTGAAATCACGGGAACTTTACCTTTCAACATAGGTGAAATAAAATAATAAAAACCTTTGACTGTAGAAGTTCACAAAATGTTGCCATTAAAAAAATAAGAAAAGCAAGATGGTAACAAGAATGATGTAATTTAAAACTGCCATATTTTAAAAGAGCAAATATCTCACGATCAGCCAGAATGAAACACTTTTGGCAGACCAGCACTAATACTTACAGCACTAGTAAACTTGTCTAAGCACTGCTCCTGAACCAGTGAAGAGAAAGAAAGTTTTCATCCCTACCTTTTGTGCGTTACTTACTGATAAAAATCTGCCTCTTTGGCTGCTTCTTCACATCTTTTTAGTGTCTTGGTATGTTGATTCTGTAGAGACTGTAGGTCCGACATGGCTTTCATACACTGGATCTTCAATCGTTCATAATCATGACTTGGTTTTGGACTAGGCCTGCCATGGAAGGGAAAAATAAAACCAGACTTCAATTATTACATCAGCAGAAATATTGTGAAGTGACTGTCCAGTTACTATTAGCAAGCAATCACTCCAAATCTTGAGATATTGCTTTAAGAAGTTACACTATTTAGAATCTATTACAGTGACAAATTAATTATTCAAGACTGACCCTGGGTCAATATGCTGCAACTGAAAAAAAGGCAATTCTCCTTCTGCACCATTAATTTCTGCATACAGAATACCATTGCACGTTTAGATTTTGAAAGTGTGCTATCAGAAGTCCCTTCGGACATGCATAAAGTTTGTTGTTTTTTTTAATTGAACACAATTACAAATTCATTCAATGCTTCTTGCAGCAGGTCACTTCTAAAACCCCACCCAGCCAAGCCCCTGCCCTTGAAAAAAATAGGATAGCAACTTACCCTGAAAGCCACCACCTCTAGGGTTTGGTGCACTAGAGGGTGAGGTGTACATTTGGGACTGGAGCGCCCCTCAGTTAAAACACGCTCTAGCAGCCCCATGTAAACCAGAGTTCAAATATCTCAAATACTGTGGAAACGTGAGGAAAGAGGCAGCCTCAAGAACATAGGAAAGAATTAAAACAACTTAGACTTTCTAAGCTACAATGTTAACATGGTTAAAATTTTGCCCAGAAAGCAAGTGGTAGTCAGTATGGATCACAGAGGACAGGTTTAGTGAGCTTGTTATGGAATATCCCACTTAAAAAGCCAACTATCACATTTGGCACAAGCTGTATTTTTGGGAGGGTTTATGGATTTGAGGTCCTATGAAGAACCGCAGCAAGATCTACACCCTAGAAGAAAGGAGGCTCTTAAGTACTTATAATGGCACTTTTACTATAATATTTAAACACCTCTCAGTCTTGAATTTATTTATCCTCAATACCCCTGCGAGGTAGAAATACTTATCTCGGTTTTACAGATAGGAAATGGAAACACAGAGATACCAAGGGCTTATGTACACTTACAGGGCTGCAGCTCCCTAAGAGGTGGTAGCTATGATGACGGGAGAAGCCCTTCTATCAACACTGTAGCAATATCTACACTGGGAGTTGGGTCGGTATAATTGCATTGCTCGGGGCGTGCATTTTCCATACCCTATAGTGACATAGTTATACGAACTTAAGTTCATAGTGTAGACCAGGGCCAAGTGACTTGCCCAAAGTCTCACAGGCTCTGTGGCAGAACAGGGACCTGAACTTGGCTCTGTAGACTCTCAGACTGGCACCCTAACTACTACACAATCTTTCCTCTCTATAAAACAGTGTGAGTGTGCACGCATGCACGCGCATACACACACACGCACACACACACACACAGAGTAAAAAGATGTAACTATTACAAACAGATTATTTTCTTTAACAAGAACTCAAAAGTTATATTAACAACCCAGATACCTCTCCCAGAGACAACAGCATTATTTTACAGAATAAAAAAAAAAACTTTCCTGCTACATAATTCAGTCAGTCTCAGTTCACTCTGCTTTCCTGGGTTAGCCTGCCAGCCCTGATCTCCTCAGTGAATTTCAAATGGGTAACAAGTGCATGCATCTGTGAAAGCATAATTTATCCACTTCATGCTGCTAAATTCAACATCTGTCGAAGTGCTATGATTATATTTTATGATATTACAAATGAAGGATATAAAGATGTCAAAGTGTGTACATCAGACATGCTTCTACTAAATACTCCAGGAGTTTTATTTTATTCAGATAAAATATCCATGATCATTTTTAAGAAAAAGACAGTTACCTTCTCCGTAACTGGTGTTCTACGAGATGCTCATGTCTATTCCACAATAGGTGTGCATGCTCACCACGTGCACCAGTGCCGGAAATTTTTCCCCTAGCAGTACCCGTAGGGGGAGCACCCTAGCGATCCCTGGAATGGCGCCTCCATGGCATGGTATAAGGGGAACTGTGTGCTCCCCCCCCACCCTCAGTTCCTTCTTGCCAGACAACTCCGACAGAGGGGAAGGAGGTCGGGATATGGAATAAACATGAGAAACATCTCGAAGAACACCAGTTATGGAAAAGGTAACTGTCTTTTCTTCTTCGAGTGATTGCTCATGGGTATTCCACAATAGGCGATTCCAAACTATATCTGTTGGAGGTGGGATGAGTTCACAGATCCCCGGGACGAAGTATGGCTCTGCTGAACCCGGCGTCATCCCTGGTTTGGGAGACAATCGCATAGTGTGAGGTAAACGTGTGAATCAAAGACCAAATATCCTGGATAGGGACGTGGGCCACAAAGGCAGCCGACGAAGCCTGGGCCAGAGTCGAGTGTGCCTTTACAGTTGGTGGCGGGGGAACACCCGCCAGATCATAACCGGTGCGAATGCACGAGGTGATTCAGTGGGAGAGGCGCTGGGTGGAAATCAACCGACCCCGCATGCATTCAGCTGAGGCAACAAACAGTTGAGAGGACTTCCTGAACAGCTTAGCTCGTTCCAGATAGAAGGCCAGTGCCCTACGCACATCAAGCACTGGACGCATGTGGCTTGGTGCAGAGGACAGGTAGGAAAATGTCCTGGCCCAAGTGACAGGCAGAGACCACGTTAGGGAGGAACGTGGGGTGTGGGCGGAGCTGAACCTTATCCTTATGAAAACCTGTGTATGGGGATTAGGAGGTTAGGGCCCTGAGTTCCGAGACCTGCCTGGCCGACGTGATAGCAACCAGGAAGGCCACCTTCCACGAGAGGCGAGACCAGGAGCACGTGACCAGAGTTTCAAACGAGGGCTTCGTGAGACCCCCCCCGTGAGACCCCCCCGTAATACCAAGTTCAGGTCCCACGGTGGGACAGAGGCCTAGCATATGGAAAAAGATGGTCCAATCCCTTAAGGAATACCATGGGAGAACACCGTGTGTCCCTGCACTGGCGGATGGAAGGCTAATATGGCCGCCAGGTGCACCCTGACAGACGAGGGCGCCAGGCCCTGGGCTCTAAAGTGAAGGAGGAAGTCCAGGATAAGCTGGAACAGGGCGGCCACTGGGGAAACCTGCTTGGCAGCCCATCTGGAGACCTGGGACCACTTCGCCAAGTAGGCGCGGCATGTGAAGGACCGCCTACTTTCCAGAAGGATGTGCTGGACCCCCTCCGAACACATCCACTCCTCCCCGCCTACCCATTGAGCAGCCACACCGTGAGGCGGAGAGCTGCTAGGTTGGGATGGAGGAGGCAGCCCTGGTCCTGGGAGAACAGGTCCAGGCGGAGCAGCAAAGCCTGCGGTGAAGCCACTGCCAGGCCCATGAGGATCCCGTACCAATGCTGCTGGGGCAATCAGAAGAACCCGTGCCTTGTCCATTTTTACTTTCTCCAGGACCCTGCTGATGAGAGGGAAGGGGGGAAGGCTCAATATGCCTCTGCCAATATTCCAGGCAGGACTGAATCTCCATTAGACAAAACTTAAAGAAGAGAATGACCTGAGTCACTCCCATTTATGTCCAGGTGCCCCAACAGACCTCACCAAGATTTGCCAGGAGCACCCATGTCTGCCCAGGCGCCCTGACCAACTTCACCGAGGCCGGCTAAGAGCACTCAGGAGATGAGGACGGCTACCAGCCTTAATGCACCATCTGCTGCCACAAGGCAATAAGTTGCTGCTGTGTAGCAATGCAGTCCCGCATCTGCCAACACCCAGGAGACATACGGTGAGCTGAGTGGGCTCCATGCTTGCCGTGGTATGGCGTCTGCATGGGTAACCCAGGAAAAAAGGCACGAAACAATTGTCTGCCGTTGCTTTCATGGAGGCCTGACATGTACCCAGAACCACCCGCGACAATGTTTTTTGCCCCATCAGGTATTGGGATCTCAACCCAGAATTCTAATGGGCGGCAGAGATTGCGGGATAGCTACCCACAGTGCAATGCTCCGGAAGTTGACGCTATCCTTGGTACTGTGGACACACTCCACTGACTTAATGGTCTTAAGTGGGGACACACACAATCGACTGTATAAAATCGCTTTCTAAAAGAATCGACTTCAAAAATTCAACAATTTCGAAGTGTAGACATACTCTTATAGTCTCTCGACTTTTTGTAGACGGCCTCGTACTTAGGCAGGGCAGCCGGAGCAGGGGCCTGCTGTGGCTTAAACTTAGTTTTGGCCGGAGCTGGAACACAAAGATCCAGAGTCTGCAGAGTCATGCGGGAGTCCTTCATGCCATGCAGCTGTGTATCCATTTGTTCGGCAAACAGAGCCTTGCCGTCAAACGGGAGCTGCTGCATGGCCGACTGCGCCTCACTGGACAGCCCGGACAGCAGAAGCCACCACCGAGGCCATGGATCGAACTGCCGTGTCTGCCACATTTGACACCGACTACAGGGACGCCCTGGCAGCAGCTGCACCCTCCTCCACCAGCTCCTTGATCTCTTTCTTATTGTGCTCCTGGAGGGAGTCCTCGAATTTGGGCAGCGAACCCCACAAGTTGAATTTGTACCTGCCCAGGAGAGCCTGATGGTTTGCCACCCGCAACTGGAAACTCCAGGATGAATAAACCTTTCTGCCAAAAGAGTCCAGCCTCCTTGAGTCTTTATTTTTCAGAGTGGGGGCTGGTTGGCCCTGCCACTCCCTGTGGTTGACTGACTTGACCACCAGGCAGTTGGGTGTTGGGTGGGTGTAGAGGTACTCGTGCCCCTTGGTCGGTACAAAGTACTTGCATTCTGCCTTCTTTGAGATGGGGGCCAGGCAAGACGGCGTTTGCCACAGGGCATTTGAAATCCTTGCCACCCCCTCATGGAGGGGCAAAGCCACTCTGCCTGGTGCCGAAGATGACAGTACACTGAACAGGGAGTCCAAGGACTCCTCCAGCTCCTCTGCCTGGAGGTGAAGGCTCGATGCCACCCATTTTAAAAGTTCTTGAAGTCCTCCTGTGGGATGGAGCTGGTCAGGGCTGCTATCGCCTCATCCGGGGAGGGAGAGGAAGCCAGTATGGTGCTCTGGATATCCACCGGCAATGGAGGGTCCACCACT